GCAGAAGTGCTTCAACTGCGGGCCCGCGCTCCCCCGCTTGGCCCCCGCGCCGCCCCGCCGCGGCGGGGGGCGGGCGGCTTCCAGTGCGGCTCGCGCCGGCGCCCGCCGCCCGCCTGCCTGCGCCGCTGCCGCTCGCCCGCGCGTCTCCCTATCTTTCGCCGCGGAGGCTCGCCTTCTCGCCCTCTTTCCACTTCCTCGCCGATGCCCCGCTTTTGGCCGCAAACTCCGCCGCTTTCTGCGCTTCTCCGCTCCAGACGCCCCGTCCCGCGCTGCCCGCGCCCGCGCCCGCGCCCGGGGTCACCTCCGCGCCCGCCGCCCTCGCCGCCTCTCCTTTCCCGAGATGAAGTCCTCTTTAACTCCGTTTCCCTTCTTTCGCTCGCTTTGTCGCGGAAAATCGGAGGCGCAACGCGCTTTTGCCCAGCTTCCCCGCGGCAGCGCCGCGCAGCAGCCGCACCCGCACACCTCCCTGCCGCCGCCCGCTGCTCTCCTTCTCCTCCGGAACACTTCCGTGCAGCCCTTCTCTTTCCCAATTGCTTTGCTACCTTTTTCGTTTTAAACGCCTTTTGCTGCAGCTTTCGTTCTAAAGTGTGTGGTGTGCTGACTCTGCTTCGAAATATCCACCGCTCGCAGCTACGGTCCACGGTGTGCGCGAGCACCCCGAGGATTCATGTTCGCTTTTGGACTCGTTCCTTCGCGCTTCCGCGGCCACCTTTTCCAGCCCACTCGCCACAGTGGAACATAAAGAGTGCAAATTCAAATGGAAAGGGGAAGGGAGGGGCTTCCTGAATTTGTTCCGAATGCTTGGTCGCCCGTCCGTTCCCTACATAATAGTGGGAATTCAAACTGAGGAATACTTCGTATCGTACGGTTTCGTCCATTTGCCACTCCTTTTTTCCCTTTGAAAAGGGGTTTGCTTCCAATTTCCACGGAATTTCGAGAGAAACTCCTGCATTTGCTGCTCTCTTTCTGAAACTGCTGAAGACTCTACGGAGTGGAGCTGCACCAATTATTTGAAGTATCTTTCTTGAACAAGAAACTGCGTTTCTTCACGCTACTTATTGCCTCTTAAATGTGAGAAAAACTGCTTTTAGATAATACCTGCAGTTGTTTCGACGCATCTGCTGATCCTCGAGGTCGCAGCTCCAGCAGCTGCCAAGTGCAGCAGCAACTGACCAAATGCACTATGCGGAAACTCGATGTAAAAACGTGAATCTCAATTTTAAATGCTATTTCTTGGATGAAATAACGAATTAAAACGAAACGGCGTGACGTGGACTCGATTGTTGCGTCAGACAAATCAGACAGATAGGCACTTCTCGTTTTGCACAGGGGGAAACAAAATGCTAAGTGTCCATTCAAATGATTTTGTGACGCGTGTAGTTTATGTAGAGGTGGAATCTTCCTAATATATGTATGCATCTGCAGTTCTTAACGTTTAGAGGTGCCAGGTCGGCAAAGGCAGTGCCGTTTCTGTGAAAGCAAAAGGAAGCAACATCGTACATTAACAAATGCGCCTGAATTCTTATTTATAGACGTATATTTTTAAAACTTCTACTTTGTCCTGTAAGTGAACTAGAACAACATTCATTCTTCTCAGACGCAGCACTCCGTGCAAAAGAAAGCTGCACCCGAATGTGCGAAGCAGCAGCTGCTCCTCCCGGCTATTGACACTTCCCAGATACAAAGGGAAGAGGAAGTCGTATTCCCTGAACTCCCTTTTCTTCTCCCCTGAAATAAAAGTGTCTGTTCATGCAAATCAGTACATACTCTTGGTTTGCATGCGCGAGAAGCCGAAGTTCCAGAAGATGTTTTCTTGCTTTTATCGCATGCAGTCCTGCTCATGGCATTCGACTTTCTAACTACGCTTTATAGTGATACAGTTTCACATCTAAAAGTCTATTATGCATGTTGTTTTGCAGATTTGAGGGGTTAGGGTCTAAAGTCTGCCCTAGAAAGCGGCTAGCTACTGAATGGTCAACTAGCTGTGGCAAGCGTTCACATCGGAAGTATCTTCGAAAGATTGAGAAAAGAAGTTAAGGGTTTCACCCTCGCCGTTCGCGAGGCCGGCCCGCTCTGTTCGGAGCGCCACGCAAAGATAGCGAAATGTGAAATGGAAATAAAAAATGAAATAACAGAGTCGGGCTAGTTAATGGAGAACGCCGGGCAGTGTTCACCTAAGAGCCTTTAGAAAGCCATCCTGCAGTTCACAAAACCAGAAAGCAGCCCAAATGGAGCGCCATGCAGAGCACTGCCGCCTATTGAGCTGCAATTACCATTATAAGTATTATTATAATTGTAATAAATGAACAAGTTAGTTGAATGCTTGAGTTTTGGACTCAAGAGGGGGCGCTTACGGAGGAACGGGGCCGAAGCCGAAGGGGGTGGGGGTGGGGGTGGGGGTGGGGGTGGGTCTCATGGGGGCCTCCGGGAAGAAGGGGGGCATGTCAATGGGGGCGAGGTTGCGGTAGTTGGTGGTGTTTTCGAAAGGAGTGTCCATGTTGTTCATGGTGGGGATGGAGTTGATGGGCTCGGTGGGGTAGCCCATGCCCTCAGCGAAGGGGGGGAACTCGGGCATGGTGTCCATCATGGGGGGGTAGCCGTAGCCCGGCATGGGGCCCATGCCCATGGTGAGGGGCTCGGTGCCGAGGGTGCGGGTGGGGGGCACCATGGGGGGCATCATGGGGGGCATCATGGGGGTGGTTGTGGGGCTGGGGGTGCCGGCGAGGGGGGTGTTCATGGGGGAGAGGGGGGTGGGGGGCATGTTGACTCCGGGGGGGCAGTCGGGGCAGCTGGCGGTGCGGAGGCGGCGCCAGTACCAGCTGGAGGAGTAGTAGGGGTAGCTGTAGCTGTAGTAGGGGTAGCTGTAGCTGCTGTAGCTGTAGAGCGGGTAGCTGTAGCTGTAGGAGGGGTACCTGTAGCTGTAGCTGTAGAGCGGGTAGCTGTAGGACGGGTAGCTGTAGTACGGGTAGCTGTAGCTGTAGGACGGGTAGCTGTACCCGTAGCTGTACAGCGGGTAGCCGTAGCTGTAGCCGTAGCCGTAGCGGCCCTTGCGGCCCATGTTCCGCGTCTGTTCGCGGGGAGTGGTGTACTCCGTCTTCGGCATGAAGCGGGTGATGTCCTCCTCAGCCATCCCCGCAGCCCGCAAGTTGTGGTACATCCTGTGCATGAACTCCTCGGCTGCGCGGCCCGCCATGGGGGTGGTCTCTTCCTTTTCCACGGCCGTCACGCCACTCATCCAGGCGCTGGTCTGCACGCCGCGCAGCGAAGCCCACAGCGAGTCCACCACCACGTCTTGCACGCGCACTTCCTTCATGTACTTGCGGGTGGCCCGGCGCAGCGTCTCGGGGTCCATGGTTTCGCTGGTGGCCATCAGTTCGTTGGCTCCGTCGAGCGCGGTGGTCATGCGGTTCGTGATCATGTCCATCATTTCGTTCACGCGGTTGTACGCCGCCGACTGGTTCTCGTCCCAGTTGAACGCGCGGCTCAGGTACTCCTGGATCTCCTTCACCAGCTGCCTCATCATCGACTCCTGCAGCTGCAGCTGGCGCTGCACCGCGCGCACGAAGTTCTCCAGCCACTGGTCAGGGGCCTCGGGGCTCGGCGAGGGAGTCGTCGTGGTCGTGCTGCTCTCGTCGGGGGCCCCCGGGGCCTCGCCCTCCTGGTAAGTGCCCATCTCGGAGTACGGGTGCACCGTGTTCTCCACAGTGGTGGGCACGGCCAGGGATTGGCCCACGGCGAGAGCCACGGCGAGGGCGCAGAGGCTGAGGCGAGTCATTGGTGAGTTCTGTGTGGCGCTGCGAGAGGTCCTTCCGCGTCTTCAACCGCTCCTCACGATCTTCCGAAACTTGAATTACTCCTTTTCTTCTGCCGCGACATCAGAGCCCCCGCCGCACCCCCTACACTCGCCAAACAACACAAACTCGGCGGGGTGTGCACAAACCCACACCACGAAGATAGGTCACCGCGAGCGCCAGCCCTGATCGCGCCGCCGCCGTCTCGTCTCGCCCACACGCCGAACTCTCTACAGCCCCAAACAACAACGCATTCCATAAATCACTTTGCGCCTATATATTTATTTGTGAAAATTCAAACCTTTCCGCTTTTGTTCGCGGCGTGTCCTGCACTGACTTCCGGACTTTCCTGCGCGGGCAGTGTGCACAGTGCACGATTGCGCCGGGCGTGTCGGGGGTGGGGAATTCTTCTCAATTGGAAGATATCAATGCCAATAAAATGCATATATTAATTATTTAAAAACAATTTAGGACATTTTCGACAGTATTTCGAGAAAAATACGGCGGCGGGTCTTCGTTATTGTGCAGGCTACCCTCACGAGCCTTGCTCGTGCTCGGTCGTAGGGGACCTACCACTAACTTGTGTGTGCCAAGTTAATCACTTCTTCAATACGAAATTTAGCTAAGAAAAGCTGTTCACACATTTTCCCGCAAACTCAATACGTTTTTGGGCCATCCACTTGCGCTGTATGGCCGCATAGACTTGTGTGTCTTGCGCCAATCAGTTGTTTGTGTTTGAAGAGGGGGAACTAAGTCCGCTGTGTGAGGGTGTAACATGAAAAAATACAGAGTTACAAGCTAGCTCAGGGTTCTTGGGTTATATGCAAAAAAGATCCAGAAAGCTGGGGAAAAGAAGCCTACATCCATTTCGTCAGCTCCTGGGTTGCTCTACGTATGCTTGCCACCACATCAGCTCACCTAGAGTGAATTCTCTTTACTTTTTTTGGAGTTCCACACACACGCACATGAAAATGTTCCAGCCTGCAATACAACGTGCAACTTGACGAAACATTTGATGGAAAACACTTTGCAGTTACCAAATTTGCTACACCTTGCGCTGTTGCCTTCATCTGGCGATTTTCTTAAGAACTGGTGGTGTCAGAGGGCCCCAACCAACTGGAAATCCTTCAAACAGGTCACAGCCCCAATTTTAACTGCGTTTTCAGACATTTTACTATTATTTCTGAGCCTTTTTGTCGTGATCTGCTGGACTTGTCATCACTTTTCTTTGGCATCTGCAGAGCCATTTGTACGGAAGGTGGAGAGATCGCCGAACATTATTCCCAAATAAACAGTCGTTTATCTCAGCCTGTATTGGCACTCTGGGCAAAATGATACTGCGGCACAGCCCATGCCACCAGTTTGTTGGCATGCATGCGCATGCCAACGCACACAAACAGTTCCTTGAGCGTGCATGCACATGCATGCGTCCAGGTCTGTGCATATACGTACATACAAATCTGTACACACTGTGGACTTGCAACTATGTCTGGTTGTCTAGTTGTGGAAGCTGGAAGGTGCTAAGAGCTGTCGGCTAAATGAGCCAACAGCTCCTATAAAAGCAGCATTTGCAAAGAAGCTTCACTTAATGGCATCAGCCTAGGAACAAGAATTGAAAATAATGTTTATATGCGTAATGCGCACACACGCATGCATGCGCGTACACTTCAGCGATAAGTTGAACACCGCGGGAAACACTGCAGCCCAAAAGCGGGAATTCAGAAAGCAAATGTTCCGCTAACACCACTGCCGTAAGCTGTGCAATAGCCAATCTTTGTGGCTGTTAAACTGCTAAAAAGTCCTGTTCTAGATCCTGAAACTGCTGCTGCTACGCAGGACGAAGTCTAGCGGGCTTCGAGCCCAGATGTGAATTCGTATTCAGTTATGTGGCAAGAGTCTGAATGTTCCAAACCTTTCAAACATTTGCGGAGTCCGAGCTTATTAAATATGAACAGAAAGTAAAATGGTGACGATAAGAATAAATAAGTAGCATTCACAAAAAGTTAAAAGTCGCGGACTTCGCGAGTATTCTTCTAATGGCCACCAGGGAGGCAACTTGTACGTTGCCTGGAGGGGCGCTGCTAAGTGAAGCAAGCCCTTTAATTCGTTGAACGAATTGACTGAATTAAGTGAATGACAGAGCTTTAAAATGCACTATCCCTTGGTGCTGCCGCCACTTAGAAGGGCATCCTGCGCAAACAGAAGCAAGAAGGCAAGACATGCAACAGTACTCTGCGTCAGCTCGAAGCCAACAAGAAAAGAAAGGAAGCAACGCAGGCAATAAGAGCTGAAGAGTGCTTTTGTCTTACTCAAATCCAAAAGAAGGAATGCCCATGGGGGGCTCGAAGAACTCGGGGGCCTCGAAGGCACTCAGGCCGCGGTAACCGCCGGTGTAGCCCGCGGGGCTGTTGTACTGGCTGCCCGAAGTGCCCATGCGCCCCATGGGCCCCTGGGTGGGGCCCATGCTCCTGCGCTGGCCAGCTGCTGCAGCTGCTGGGTAGGCGGGGTAGGCCTGGCCAGCCATGGGGGTGGTGTAGGGGCCCCCCATGGTGGGGTTGGTGTAGGGGGCCCCCATAGCGGGGTTGGTGTAGGGGGTTGCCATGGTAGGGTTGGTGTAGGGGGCCCCCATAGTGGGGTTGGTGTAGGGAGTTCCCATGGAGTTTGTGTAGGGAGCTCCCATGGAGTTTGTGTAGGGAGTTCCCATGGAGTTTGTGTAGGGAGTTCCCATAGTGGGGTTGGTGTAGGGAGTTCCCATAGTGGGGTTGGTGTAAGGAGTAGCCATGGTGGGGTTGGTGTAGGGAGTTCCCATGGTGGGGTTGGTGTAGGGAGTTGCCATGGTGGGGTTGGTGTTAGAAGTTCCCATCATGGGGGTGGTGTAGGGGGAGGCCATCATGGGGTTGGCGTAGGGAGTTCCCATCATGGGAGTTCCCATCATGGGGTTTGCATAGGGAGTTCCCATCATGGCCTCCTCCTGGAGGCCACGGAAAGCAGTGGGGGGAATTATGAACTCGGGCTCGGGGGCCGGGGCGGGGGCGCAGTCCGGGCAGGCTGCAGCGCCCAGGCGGCGCCAGTAGAAGCTGGAGTGGCTGGGGTAGCCCCAGGCAAGGGGGCTGGGGTAGCCCCAGGTGGAGGCGTAGAAGGGGTAGCTGTAGCCGCAGCTGGAGTAGGGGCAGCCGTAACTGTACAGGGGGTAGCTGTAGCCGCAGCCGTAGCCGTGGCCGTAGCCGTAGCTGCGGCCCTTCTTGCCCATGTTGCGGGGCTCGCTGCTGCTCGGATCCGCCGGAGTCCGCGGCACATACTTCACAATGTCCTCCTCAGCAACTCCTGCTGCGCGCAGGTTGTGGTACATGCGGGCCAGGAACTCCTCAGCGGCTCTGTTGGCCACAGCCAGCACATCTCTCTCGTCAATAGTGCTCGACACCCCACTCATCCAGGCACTCGTCTGCACGCCCCGGAGAGAGGCCCACAGCGCGTCCACGACGATGTCCTGCACCCTTACTTCCTTCATGAAGTTGCGAGTGGCGTCGCGCACTGCCTGCGGCTCGGTTTCCGTGGTGCTGATCTCGTTCGCTGCGTCCCGAGTCACGGCCATGCGCTTGCTGATCATGTCCAGCATGGTGTTCACCCGCGCCAGGGCCGAGGAGTCCGACTCGTTCCAGCCAAAGGCCTCCGTCAGGTACTCCTGGATGTCCCTCACCAGCTGCCGCATCAAGTTCTCCTGCAGCTGCAGCTGCTTCTGCACTGCGCGGCTGAAGCCCTCGAACCATTGCTGCGGGCTCTCCGGGGCAGCCGTGGAGGTGCTGGTGGGGATGTCAGTGTCCTGGTAGGTCTTCGCCTGGCCATACTCGTCCATTGGCACTTCTACGGGGATGGCCGTGGGCATGGCCACTGACTGCCCGGCGGCGAGAGCCACGGCGGCGAGTGCAGCGCAGGCGGCGAGACGAGTCATAGTGGACTCCAGCTCTGGTCGCGTAAGTAGTCGAATAAGAATGCCTTCGCTGAATAAATGCTAAACATTGATTTGTGCTGCACAGGGCGGCGCTCAGCATGCGCGCCGAAGGCACTTGCTGGCGGTAGCTGGAGAGAGGTCTGCAAGATAGGCGCGCGCCGCGCCCGTGGCCCTTAGCGAGCTTTGTGGATTGCCTACTGCAACCTGATGTTTTCATATATCTTTTAAATTAGCTTACCTTCTTCAAATTTTATTTCAATTCGCATCTTGGGAGGCCAAACGTAGAAATCCTGCAGGTGACCACGGGGCAACACGCGGGGGTGGGATGGTCCACATGGTCACCCGCTCCAAGCGCCACTGAAATATAGCAAATAGAGTGGTCCACGAGGCAAAATTTTGACTTTTTCTTATTAACTTTGAATTGGTGGCGCTTTTATCTGCTTAGTTGCACCCTAGGACACTCGAGAATTTTGCAGTGCTCGCAGCTTTCCAGGATCTTGTATCCATACACATAAAAGCAACAAGGAGGTGACCCAAATTTTGAGCTTAAGATACTTGTCTGATTTCAAATATACAGCATATAAGAAGTTGCCTTAAGGCTGATTTAAAGGTGCCGGAGTCACTAGCTGAACCATATTGAGCGATCCTGCAGCACCTGCTTGTACTCCGTAGATGGACTAACCTACAGTGAAAAGCGCTACAGAGCAGGAACTTTTCGCTCCCAAATGTGCAGGAATTTTAATTCTTAATTAACACCGCTCAACGTAACTCTCACTTCCTTCTACCAGAGAAATGTGTAGAGGCAACTTCAACACGAGCAGATCTGCCTGAGTAAAACACGCGTGAGCACTGTAGTATAAACGGCTCATGGCGCTACTCCGAAGTAACAGCTTCACAGATTAGGGTTGAATAGTTTTCCAGTACTGTTGTTGCAGTTGATAAGCTCGAGCTTAGCTCTAAGCACAGACATTGTCTCACAGAAAAATTGATGTTCAACGCATCATTGAGCATGGACTTTTGTCTGAGACAGACACTGATCAGCATGATGCGCTGAGCGGGCGTTCGCGATCCAGGCAACTATTTCATGTGCATATTATATTTGTATGAAGTACCGCATCAATACGGTTGTGCAACATAAGGATACGTGTTCAGACATCTACGTTCACTATCATTTTTTTCAATGCGCATCTTTATTTTCGCTTTTATTAGCGAGCTTGCTTCTGCAACATCGGTAGTTGCAGCCTGTCTAGCCCACGTCAACTGTGAAATGTCGGTACAGATCCTTCAGTGAGCCAGCCCACTACGCAGAAACATCTGCATACTCCCGTTTACGTATTGGGTCAACGAGCAGGAATTGAATCCTGCCTTCTTCAGGAACTGTATAGGCTCTGGCACTAGCAACTGGTCTTCACTTCATGTTATTGGCATACCCGTGAGCTAAGACGACAATTTTTAAGGAGTCAACCTGTAGCTATGGTATCTTTACTGGTCTTCACATGTTATTGGCGCACTCATGAGCTCAGACAACAATTTTGAAACAGTTAGCTTGCATCAATGATATATCTACTCGTCCACTGTCTATGCGGCGCGTTTCATAGATATGCTGCGCACTGTTACTCGCAACTCAGCAATTAGTCTGTGTTACCCGATGCTCAGTGGGAGCCTTCGTACAAAACGACGCCATTTGTGTACTGAGGGCTCGGCAGTGAGTACTGAGAGGCTGTCGCTTGCGCTGTTCAGTGCCCTTTACATAGCAAACGAGAACCAGCAACACTAGGCGCAGTCCAGCACAAACAATAGCTCTTAAAACCTTGACATAGTGCATTTGCAACCAGCAAGCCATAGGCGTGAAGTTGTACGTGCCCAATGCTATGAGCTAGGGTGTGAGCGATAGCGGTAGAAACGACGGAGATACCCAAGCAAATGGTGTGAAATCCAGCCTCGAGTTTAAGACTGCAAGATATAATCTTTCATTCTATGGTATTCTGCTGTTCATGTCGAATAAGAGATGCTCATATTAGGTTTATGCATTGATTACGCCTACATGCGAGTGCTACAAGTGTCGGGCCTGGGCAGCACGCAACAAATCAATTCGGTCCTTTCATTGCAAAGATGGTTTGAGTAACTGGAGGAAAAATAAATTCGGCCGTGATGAACGGACCGGAGGCTATTACATGGTAGAGGCAAACTATTTACAGACGACCACTGGCCGTTGGCGGGGCACTTTGTTAGGGCATTCCTCCGAGTCGTAAGCCCAGACGATGTAAGAAGAAACAAAATAATTTGTGTTTATTTCGAGCAAAGTACTGTAAATTCAGTAGACTGTTTAACGCACAGGTATCATTAAGGAAACCCCATGGCTCCTCTCAGCATCCGCTATTTCAGGCTACCGCATGCCATTGGATGGAGGCGGCAGTAGGTTTGCACCCGTTTCCTCGGTTTTTTTACACTTAATATCTTTTTTTTCATGATTCTTTGACCTTTATACAGGGATTTACTAAGACATTGAGGATCGGGAGGCCCCTTTTCCCTCCCTCGGCTCCCCCTAGACGCATATTGCATTCCTTTCCCCCCAAAAAATGAAGGCCTCAGAGGTGCAGGCAGCAGTTAAGTGGGGTGCTAAGTCCTTCAACGTTCAAATAGACCCAAATGAGCCCCTGGAAGTCTTCCAAGCTCAACTCTAGTGAGGCCACCACAACCCCCTAATGCATAATGCAGAAAGGAGTAATCCCGCAGTAACGCCATTGCCTGCTCCTCTTGAAGCACTAGATCGCACCTTGAAATAAGTGTGTGAGTTGCTGTACCTCGCGATTGGGCCCATGTTGCGAATGGTCATGAATTTGGTGACCAAGTAATGGTGGAGGTATTCGGATATTTCTTGACTTCAAGTCAAGTCAGTTGAGACGATAGGAGTTCAGATCCCAGCGTAGCAGGTTCATAGAGAGCCAGGATATTTTTGTTGATGGCCCGTGCGTGGTGGCTTGCTGCTGCATCTATGGGGCGCTGCTGCTGCAGCACTCTTACGGGGGTTCCCGTAGAACGCCAGAAGCTCTTGTGCAAAGGCAAGACCATAAAGGTTGATGCGGATCTCCAGGCTTTAGTGTCTTCTGGCTGTCCCAAGATAATGCTAATGGGCACAGCCGAAGAGAAGACGGCAGTGAAACCGCCGCCAGAAAAAACTGTTTTTGTTGAAGACCTTACGCCGGCGCAGCAGGCGGCGCTGCTGAAGGAAAAGAAAGTAGAGCCCTTGCCGAACGTAGGCCAGACACCAGATAATTTAAGCATCTTTACTTTATCTTTAAACCAAAGAGATGCTTTCAATCTGATTTAATTTTATGTGAAGACTTGAAAGACTTGCATACTTTTCATCTTGCGAGGGTTTCGACGGTACAGATAAAGGCAAGAAGCTCAAAAAAGAATCTTTTTTCAATTAAAACATGAACTCTTGCATATCGTTTTTAATTGAAATATGAATTCTTGCAGCCCTGTTGTGCATTGCGTGTGATCCAGGGCATAGTTAATCTGGGGAACACCTGTTACCTGGCTTCAGTTTTGCAGATGCTGCGTCCCGCAAAAGACTTTTCTGATCTGCTGAAAAATTACATTTCGGGAGGAGCAGCAACTGCCCAGTTTGCAGCGACAGGCCAGCAGGGAGCTCTTCGTCGGCTTTCGTTGGCTCTTAAGGATTTCTACAACCAGTGGGACCAAACAGTCGAGGCTGTTTCCCCCTTTCTTCTGGTAAAACTGACCTTCAAAACGATAAAATTTCTGTTTTCTCTTCGCATTTCTTTTGTTTTCGACTTGATCTGCGTTGGATGGCTTCTGAATGACACACATGTGCACGTAGGCTGGCATTTGTGGAGTCCTTAGGTGCCAACACTGCGAGAGGCCTACCCACAGTTTTCTCGACGCTCAACTTCGCAAGCAGGTGCGCACAGCTGGTGGCACTTCATGAGCTAAGATTTATTTTGGTGGATGCAGATGCAGTGACTTCTAAAGTAACCAAGTGTAATTAAGTGAAGTGTTTCAGATGCTGTTTAACTGTTCCCGTTTTTGCTTAGTGGGGGGCGGGGCTGTTGGCCGAGGAAGCGTTCTTGAGTAGCTACAGAATTCATATTTAGCATAAAGCAATGACATGAAGTGAAGTGTGGCTGTTGGGTGTGCGCAGGCACAACTGGAGTTCCCATGCAACAAGACGCTGAGGAATGCCTCAGCTGTTTGATGACAGCGGTGGCGGAGAGTCTGGACTCAGGAGCGGCCGCAGGCTTGTCAAAGTCTTTACCATACTTGCCCCTGAAAGCTGGCTCGTCACCCCTTGACTTGCTTTTCGAAGTGCAAGTTGAGGTCACTTCAAGTCGAACCAAGAAGGAAGGCGAGGCGGAGCCGAAACCCACAGTGCAAGTCGAACGGCACCGCAAGCTCACTTGCTTCTTGGGCACCCCACAGAAGCCAGTGAGCACCATCGAGGACAGCTTGAAGTTCTCACTTGGCGACGAAGTCGTGAATGTGGGCAGCACCAGTGCGGGCGCATCAGGAACAGAGGAAGACACCCTCATCCGCAGCAACAGAATCAGCAGCCTTGCTCTGTACCTAATTGTGCACTTCATGCGCTTCGAGTGGAAAATGGGCGGCAGCGAATCGGAGAAGGCCAAAATCTGCCGAAGCGTCAAATTCTCCCAGACACTCGACATGTTTACTTACTGCACCAAGGTAACAATGGTGATAAGCTTGACAGTGCAGTGACTGACTAATATCCATAAGGCTCTTACGCAGTCCCCTCCTAGCTCACTCCCTATAGGTTATAAATACACTTGTTTCTGGCTCACTTTGATAGTTGCGGTTTTGGGCCAGACATATAGTGTGCCGTTGCCTATGGGAGCGCGTAATAGCAGTTTCCGTGCTGAGCACGGCAGCTTCAAGCGCCCAAGTGTCACCGTATTGCTAAATGGCACATCTGAACATGCTGCTTTGTGGAGCCTGAGAATTTATGTTGTTGTCAATTGGCTAAAAATTGAAGGCATGTATATGTTCTCGGCGTGTGAAGTAGGAAACGGGTACTCCACGCTTGCACCACCTTGTCTCATGCTGCTTCTTTTCATGTTTTACGGCTTTTTTACTCTCTCATGCCTTCCATCAGGCATCATTTTAGATATTACTTATAAGCAAGCGAGTTGAAATCGTTATAGCGAGTTGTGTATGCTTGCCTGCTGATCCTGCGCAACAGGAATTGCAAGATTCCTTCAAAGTAGGCCGGGCGATTGTGGCTCTACGGCGAGAACGCGAGGCGTCTTCAGGAGGCGCAGAAAAGACCACTAATGGGACCGCGTCTACTGAGTCCGGTGCGCCTGCGGCTGATGGCGCAGCTGCTGCAACTGCAGCACCTGAGGCTGCAGCTGTACCTGCTGCGACGAATGGCAGCGGAGCTGCACACTCGGCAGCAGCACCTGCTGCAGAGGCCGCCGAAGCAGAGGCAAAAAAGAAAGAAACCGAACTTCTTCGCCTTGCAGGAAAGCCTTGTCCAACGGGCACATACCAGTTGCTCAGCGTTGTCACCCACCAAGGCCGGTACGCAGACAGTGGACACTACGTAGGGTGGGCGAGAGCAGGCGATGCAGGCACTTTGCAGGGCCCGCCCACCGCACAATCTGAAGACAAGGAGGAGGAAGAACCCGCAGCGCCATCAGGCCCTGCAGCGAAACGCAGGAAAAATGTTGACATGTGGCGGAAGTTTGACGACGATAAGGTCTCAGAGGTTCCGTGGGATTCAATTGACCTGGCGGGTGGACGCAGCGACTACCACGTTGCGTATTTGTTGCTGATGAAACATATATTAGTTGTCCCCACCGAAGAGGAGCTGCTAGCTGTGGCAAAACAATTATGAACGACACGGTTTTCTATTCACTGCAAAGACGCAAACTCATATCTTTAAGATCATTAACAACTTGCTACTTTCCCGTTAGTTACCAGCACAGACTGCGCGTGCCACTGTACGGGGCAGTCTCCGAGCGGCTTGTTGCTTAGCTGCCTCGCCGAGATGAATGTATGTGAATGCGCAAGTGACCTTACTGCACGGCTCGCCCCGCAGTCACTGTAAAATTAGCTGGACCCTCAGCAGCTCTCCCTGACATTCTAGACTACTTGTTAAGTGCCCATGGCTGTTCCCACGTAACTGCTTGGGGCGCCTAACAGTTGCAGATAACCTGTAGAGGTGAATAGGGAACTCACTGCGTCACAGTTTGTACAGCTGAGATGCGTAGAGGTGAGTGCAATTTGGATGAGGCTTTGCTTCGCTACATGTTCCATAGAGAGCTTCCTCACTGCTCTTCAATAATATTTCTTGTTCACCACAGTCTGCATCGAGGTTCTCATGCCAATGGACCGTCGATATTCGGCACCATTACCCCCTTCTGCCATCTACGGTTGATCTGTTCGATAGATATGGCTGTCTGTGAATCTGAAACTCAAATTCAGGGAAGTACTAGGGTCACCTATGGGTCATGTACGAACACGTCTGCCGCGTTGCTTTTATCAAGATCTGCGGGCGAACTGTTGCAGGAAAAAACACTTGCTCGAGCTCAGGATGAGAGAAACACTACTCCTGTTTGATTTTTTAATTCAAATTTGCAGAAACAGCTGGGGAAAAGGCGAGAAAAGTAGTGGGACAGCGAGGCGTTATTTGCTATGTCGGTCTACGTCAGCAGAGCCAGTGAACTGTTGAATAACAAGCGGAATTGCCAAACCTAGATGAATTTAAATTCATGAATAACTCAAAATTGCCATAATGTGCAGTGGGCACTTTGTAACTCTCACGTAAGATGCAGTCCAATGCTCCGCGCGATTGTCTGGGTGCCGAAACTGGCGTTTTGGGGGTCCGTGAGGAGTACTGCTAGGAGCCATGCCGCTTAAAAGTTCAATTTTTGCGTGTGTTTCCTGTCAAGCACGAAAAATAATGCACATTTTCATTTAGAAGGGCCACGAGGCTGACGAAGACAGTCCGGCGGCCCCACTGTGTTCGAAAGCAACGTGCTCGGGCTTTCCTTTGCTGGCAACACAGTCTTCTTTCATTTGAAAGTGCCTTTCCTTAATTAATTTTCATTTGAAATAACTTAATTTTTGTATATTTGTTTTCAAGTATTGTTTTTTTGGACCGTTGAGAGGGCCGGTGACACATGGCGCCACGGCTGCTCCCAGGGCGTCTCTTCACTCAAGTCAGCCGTCATGTCTCTCCGTTTTTGCAATCAGCCATAGGAAAGGCTCATAAATGTAATATGACTTTTATTTGAAGGCATTCCCTTTGATACACCTGTGGCCGCGGCAGCGGCATTAGTCCTGGCTGTTTGAGCTTGTCTTGCAGAAACCGGGATGAGAAGGAAGACCGTCATCGAGCCGTGGCGGCCCAGAGGTCCTAAATTTGAAATATCCCGGTAGAATAAATTTATTAAGATATACGTTTTCATGGAGGATACTTTCCATGAGGGCTACAGGTTGGAGAGCCCGAGGGAGGCGCCGTCACCTGGGTCACTTGTATGGTTTTATTTGTTTCGGCTGCACTGCCCTCCTGCTTTCTTGCCTTTTCAAAGAAAATGTCTATGTGTCCGGACTTTTGGCTGACGTTTCTGGGGCTTCCCAGCCTCATACATTCCTCAGAGGGGTCTTTGAGCCCCTTACGGGTTTTGGGGTAGGCAACACTGAGAATGAGAATGAGCATAGAGCTAGTGAGAATACAACACCTCGAAATAAATCTGATGACGCTACGAATGGGGGAAATCAGAATGCATTTACTTTACGTAAGACCGTCTTACGTGCACCAGGGGGCTTATCGAAGCAACAGCTGCCCCTAGGGACCATTTGGCCTACAGAAGAGAAAGGGGAACTCGAGGAGGAGTTTCTTTTCTTCGCAACTCGAGCACTTCAAGAGCGACCCTCACGCCGCCCACGGGGAGCTTCCGCTACCAGAACTACAAAGACTGCAGAGGGACAGACAACAACAGCAGAGGGACAGACAACAACAGCAGAGGGGCAGACAACAACAGGAGAGGGACAAACAACAACAGCAGAAGGGCAAACAACTACAGCAGAACGGCAAACAACGACACGCAGCAGAGGCCGGCCTACTACGCGGACAACAGGAAGGGCAACGACGACAACGACGAAGACAACGACGAAGACTACGACGAAAACAACGACAGAGACAACGACAAAGACAACGACAAAGGCTACAACATCAACCACCACACCTCCTCCTCTTCAAGGCTGGAAGGAAGTAGAGGAGAGCCCATTAGAAGCATTAAAGAACGAGCCCGACCTCTCAATCCTGAGCAAGGCTCTTGAGTCAAACCCCCTCACTCAGGGAGATTCACTCATCACCCGATTAGCGATCACTTTATTTGCTCCAACGGATGACGTGCTGTCGCAGTTGGCCGTCAAAATGGACGAACTTGCTGAGATGGTGATAGCTGCTCACAGTCAGATGCTTGACCAGTGCTTGAAGCTTCGCCAGACAGATAGATTTAAAACCCGGAAGTAGATGTTTTCTGAGCTGCATGTTGTGTTTTTGTGCATGGGTTTTGTGCTGCTAGACTTGGATGCCTCGGAAAGCGTGGGTGGAAGAAATGATTGTGATGACACACCTCGTGGCGCCGAAACTGATCGACCCTCGAGAGATTACAACGGAAGAATCTGTATTCCAGACACGCAGTAACCAGGAGCTGAAAATATATCGTGCTGGTCCTCCCGACCCTAAGCCGAAAACAGATGAGAAGAAGGAACAAGATGCAAAAACAGAAGACAAGAAAGAAGAGTCAGGAAGCAGCCCGCAACGGAGCCGACCCAAACCTCGCGGTGCATCTCGGTCTACTGGAGGCGAAGCAGACACCGCTAAAAAAGGAGGAGGAGAAGCTAAACCTGGCTCAGACAGGGATGACAAAAAGCCAAGCGATGAAAGAGGCACAGGAAGGGGCAGTCAAGCAGCAGCGTCTGGTGCAAGGCCCCCTAGAAGCCCGCGGCGGCAAACCCAAGAAATCACCGACGAAAGTAAAGGGGAAGGCAGTGAAACTGACGAAGAAGCAGAAGAAGAAGAGGAATCTAAACAAGACACTGATGAAAGGAAGCAAACGAACCGTCGCAATGCACAGGAAAGGCGTAAACGCCCAGAGCGGAAGAAAGAAGATGATCCCGAAGAAGACTCTGATGATGATGCAGCGGACGGAGAGGAAGACGAAGATGACAAGAAGAAAGAGGAGAAAGAGGACAACAGTGGACAAAAAGGAAAGCGGCAAGCAAGGCGTTCCCGAGATGAAGACAATGAAGATGACATCGAAGATGATGAGTCTGACAGCGACGAGCCACAACCTCGCAAAGACGAAAGGAGTAACCGAAGGCAAACGCGAAATAGTTTTCAGCGAGGGCGGATGACAGAAGAAGTCAGCGATGACGATGATGATGATGATGAAGACCGCACATCAAGAGGACGCGAGGAGGCGCGGCGTTCACAGCGTTCACAAGGCCAGCAGCGTCGAAGCAGCCGCCCCCGTTCTGACTCCGTTAGCGATGACGAAGATGACGATGAAGCACAAGCGAAGAAAGAACAGACACAGCGTTCCACTCGTGCGCGCACTCAGCAAGGTCAACGTAGCCGTTCTCGCCCAGACTACAAGGATGATGATCAAGACGATGATGATGACGACGACAGTGCCTCTGAGGAGAAAGAGGGACCACGGCGTTCCAACGGATTGAAAAGTCAACAAGCGCGTAGAAACCGTCCCCGTTCCGATGATAAGAACCAGGATAGTGATGATGATGACGATGATGGAAAAGAGGATGATAGGAATTTGGAGGAGAGAAACGAACAGCAGCGTTTCGGGGGCCCGCAGGGGCAGCGGGCTCGAAACAGCCGTTCTCGTCATGAAGAAAAAAGGGATGATAACGATGATCTTGGCGATGATGACGAAAACGTTAGCAATGATGACGATGGCGATGGCAATGGCGAGGATGATAATGCACCACAAGACAGGAATAAACCTCGACGTTCAGCGCGCCAGCAAAAAAGCGTTCGGAGCAACCGTTCGCGCTCGGACGATGATGATGATGATGATGATGCAGAAGAAGAGAGCGAGGAGCCGCGGCGCTCCGCGCGCTCCCAAAGGCCGCCTAGCCAAGCTTCTCGTTCCCGTAAAGTTGAAGAAGGTGGTCGTGATGATGATGACGAAAGTGCTGCAGAAGATGAAGGTGATGATGCGGAAGGTAGTGAAAAAGAGCATGAAGGAGAGGAAGACGATGACGATCTGGATGAGAATAGTGAAGGAGAGGAAGAAGAGGATAATGACAGGGATGAGGAGGGCGAGCAGGACGATGATGATGATGTAGATGAAGAACAACGAGAAGGCAGCGCTGCAGCCGCGCCAAGGAGAAGAAGGCAAAACGACAGGGAAAAAATAGAGTCAGACCCCGAGGCGCACGTAGACACAGAAGAAGAAGACTTTGACGAAAGCGGAGATGAAGAAGACGATGACAGAGAGGATCCCGAAGAGGATATAAGGAGGAACGCAGACTCAGGGAGAGCCCGCAGATCGTCAACGGTAAGCCGTACCACGGCTACCACGACCCCACGCCCTCAGTCATCGCGAGCTCGGACTCCTAGATCAACGACTCAGGATGTCTCTGGTGCACGTGGACGGGTGCAAAGGAGACAAACACAATACGAGGACACTGACTCAGAAACATCCCAAAGCCGTCGCCGACGTGCCGCACTCACAAGTGCTGACGATGACAATGATAGCGGCGAAGAGTTTAGTTATGAAAATGAAAATGAAGATGAGTTTAGTGATGGAGATGGAGACGAAGATGAAGATGAGGACGAGGACTATCTGGAGGATACTTTCCAGTCAGAAAGTTCTGAATTCAAAACACTTCCCTCCTTCAGACGCAGTAGCACATCTGCTGTTCGAGAAAATGCCTCTTCATCTAGGGATGGACCCCGCAGAAGGGTCAGAGGTGGTTACTATACTTCTGAAGAGCCCGCAGGAGATGATGACAGAGCCACTGGCAGCAGAGACGACTCCGCTGAGAGTGAGCGAAAGCCGCCTCAGAGGGGTTCCCGACAGGATGGGCAGCCAAGTGGACGGCTTGGAAGACCAGAGAGAAGCCGCACGGGAGCTACTGGACAAGATGGTACAGTTGACCCAAATGAAAATGAAGAGTCCGAGGCTCAGATCCGAGGTGGCCTATTACCTCGATATCTGGCGGCAGTAGAGAACGGTACCAGCACGTCAACCACCTCTCCCGCTTATCTACAAGACACCTCACGGAGCTCTAGTAGCGTCAGAGCAACTGCTGCTGAAGTATTTAGCAGCACACAACAAGTGCGGCCTCAGGTTCGCAGTACGCTACCTGAAACGTTCACGACAAAGAAAGCCACAACAATTGCACGCACTTCTTTCTCCAGTCGTAGCAGAGGCTTTTCTTCCAGTGCTGCTTCGGGCATTTTGGACTTCACTACTACTGTGCCGCGCTCTGCAGAGCCTGATAACCAGAAGACCCAGGCTCAAACAGGAAGCACTTCCATCACGCTAACCAGCACTCGCGACCCAACAAGTAAAAGTATTACCACCAGAGTGCGCAGCCCACGGACCTCACGCAGGGAAGTGACGGCCACCAATCCAACTACTGCCACTGGTGATCACTCCACAAGCATTCACCAGCCCACGAATGACAGTACCACGCGGGCTGGCATGCCTTTGGATTCTCAAAGGCGTTCAAGCAGTACACAGGCTGCATCCACCGGGACAGAGTCGCAGCGTGCAGATGTCCAGCGGTCCAGTTTCATGAATGCACAGGGAAGAAGCGGCGGCCTCACAGGCAGGGTCCGCAGCTCCACTGAAGCGCCAGTATCAGGTGTCTCGCCATGGTCGCCGCGCTCAGGAGTGCTGCAATTTTCAACACCAGCACCAACAGGAACAACAGCAGATTCCCTATCGAGACCCGGACACACTTCCAAACGGCAAGAAACCAATAGTGAGGCTGGCGCAGATGGTGACCGTGGGGACAGCGGCAGCGCACGTACGACAGCTAGTCGCACACCCAGGGCTTCGCAAGGAGTAATTTCAGGCTCATCTACGAGAGCACCACGGACCAACACTACATTGACAACATCACGGCCAAGCCAATCTAGAAGCACAGCTGAGGCTGACAGTGGGGATGAAGCAGAAAATGACCGTGGAAGCACTGGCAGTGCCCGTACAACAGCAAGCCGCACACCAAGGGGGTCACATGCTGAAAGACCCAGCTCATCTACGCGAACCCCAAGAAGCGGTACAACACTGACAACACCGCGGCCAAGCCTATCTAGAAGCACAGCAAAAAGTGACAGTGAGGATGAAGCGGAAGACGACCCTGGGAACGGTGGCAGCACACGTACAACAGCAAGTCGCACACCCAGGGGTTCGCAAGGAGGAATTTCAGGCTCATCTACGAGACCACCACGGGGCAGCACTACACGGACAACATCGCGGCCGAGCGGATCTAGAAGCACAACAGAAAGTGATAGTGAGGATGAAGCAGAAGATGAGCGTGGCAGCGCACGTACAACAGCAAGTCGCTTACCCAGAGGATCGCAAGCTGAAAGACCCAGCACATCGTCGCGAGCCCCAAGGGGCGGCACGACGCTTACAACACCGCGGCCAAGCCAATCTAGAAGCAAAGCGGAAAGCGATAGTGAGGATAAAGGAGAAGACGACAGTGGCAGCGCACGTACAACAGCTAGTCGCTCACCAAGGGGATCTCAGGGAGGAAGATCCAGCTCATCTACGCGAATTGCACGAAGCGGCACTACACTCACAACATCACGGCCAGGCCAATCTAGAAGCACAGCAGAAAGCGATACTGAGTATGAAGCAGAAGACGACAGTGGCAGCGCACGTACAACAGCAAGTCGCACACCAAGGGGAACTCAGGGAGGGAGATCCAGCTCATCATCACGAGCCCCACGAAGCGGTAGTACACTGACCACATCGCGGCCAGGCCAATCTAAAAGCACAGCAGAAAGCGATAGTGAGGATGAAGGAGAAGATGACCGTGGGAGCCCTGGCAGTGCACGCACAACAGCAAGTCGTTCACCCAGAGGATCGCAAGCTGGAAGATCCAGCACATCGTCGAGAGCTCCGAGGGGCGGCACTACATTGACAACACCGCGGCCGAGCCGATCTAGAAGCACAGCAGAAAGCGATAGTGAGGATGAAGCCGAAGACGACAGTGGCAGCGCACGTACAACAGCAAGTCGCAAACCGAGGGGATCTCAGGGAGGAAGATCCAACACATCATCGCGAGCCCCAAGGAGCGGCACTACACTCACAACATCGCGGCCAGGCCGATCTAGAAGCACAGCAGAAAGCGATAGTGAGGATGAAGCAGAAGACGACAGTGGCAGCGCACGTACAACAGCTAGTCGCTCACCCAGAGGGTCACAAGCTGGAAGATCCAGCACATCATCACGAGCCCCAAGGGGCGGTACTACACTCACAACATCGCGGCCAGGCCGATCTAGAAGCACAACCGAGGCTGACAGTGAGGATGAAGCAGAAGATGAGCGTGGCAGCGCACGTACAACAGCTAGTCGCTCACCCAGAGGATCGCAGGGGGGAAGATCCAGCTCATCATCACGAGCCCCAAGGGGCGGCACTACACTCACAACATCGCGGCCAGGCCGATCTAGAAGCACAGCAGAAAGCGATAGTGAGGATGAAGCCGAAGACGATAGTGGCAGCGCACGTACAACAGCTAATCGCTCACCCAGAGGATCGCAAGCTGGAAGATCCAGCTCATCATCGCGAGCCCCGAGGAGCGGCACTACACTCACAACATCGCGGCCAGGCCGATCTAGAAGCACAGCAGAAAGTGAGGATGAAGCCGAAGACGATAGTGGCAGCGCACGTACAGCAGCTAGTCGCTCACCAAGAGGATCGCAGGGGGGAAGATCCAGCACATCATCACGAGCCCCAAGGGGCGGTACTACACTCACAACATCGCGGCCAGGCCGATCTAGAAGCACAACCGAGGCTGACAGTGAGGATGAAGCAGAAGATGAGCGTGGCAGTGCACCTACAGCAGCTAGTCGCTCACCAAGAGGATCGCAGGGGGGAAGATCCAGCACATCATCGCGAGCCCCAAGGGGCGGCACCACACTCACAACATCGCGGCCAGGCCGAACTAGAAGTACAACGGGAAGTGAGGATGAAGCAGAAGAGGAGAGTGGTAATCCACGTACAACAGCAAGTCGCACACCAAGGGGAACTCAGGGAGGGAGATCCAGCTCATCAACGCGAGCCCCACGAAGCGGCACTACACTGACAACGTCGCGGCCAGGCCGATCTAGAAGCACAGCCGAGGCTGACAGTGAGGATGAAGCAGACGAAGACCGTGGGAGCCGTGGCAGAGCACGTACAACAGCTAGTCGCCCAGCAAGGGGATCGCAGGCTGAAAGATCCAGCTCATCATCGCGAGCTCCGAGGGGCGGCACTACGCTGACAACATCGCGGCCACGTCGCACGACCACTAAAAAAGGGGATGGTGCTTCGGAGGACGAAGAAGAGGAGAGTGCTGACACAACGCGCACCACAAGTGCCCGCGCACAAAGGGGTCGTGGCTCCAGCACAGCTCAATCCCGCGGTAGGGAAAGTCCCAAAGTCAGGGCGTCCTCTACAGATGAGGAGGAGGACAAGGACGATAGCGGCAATGCAGCGGAGAGAAGCACGAGACCTGCGCCTGACAGATCATCGAGGAGCACAAGAGCTGGCAGGCAGACAACTGGGTCCGGAGGAGGTGGTGGCTCAACAGAAGCAAAGAAACGGACAACCCGGAGGTCTCCTCCCGGCGGAGGTAGGGGAGCGGGTCCTGCTAGAGAGAAAGATGGCGGGGGACCCGCGAAAGCTGGCAAAGTAATCGAAAATGGGACTCGAGATATGCGTCAACTCCGTGTTGTAGTGAACGGCTTTGAGTCGAAAGTCGTCGAGGTTGTTAAGGCCAAACGTGGTTTCATCTACAAGATTGACAACATGCTGCCTTTCAGATGGAATCCTGGTCCCACCATTGTCAACTTCTTTCGAGAAACACCAGAATATGTCAAGCTTAATTACTTCCTACAAAAGCTTCCGCTCAAGCTACGTGATCAGGCAAGCTGCATTCAGCCTCAAACGCGTGTACATGCAACGACATGTGTAGTTTAAGCAGCATTACACGCGGCTTATACTCTCAGACAATCACAAACATTTCTGCTTGACGCAGCCTATGCTGTTACGCAGATGTATTTGCACTTGACCTATTTTAACCTGTAGCTAAAGGAGTGTCAAGCTTGCCGACGCGATGGGAGATACTTCAAATGCACTGAACTTAGTGAGGGTATAAACTCGATTGCACATCTATTTGTGACAATGGGCCTAGCTCGCCTTGTTCTATTCTTTTTGAATTGTATTTCTCCCGATGACCGCCCAATATCATTGCAATTTTGCTCAAGTGCGGCTGCAGATGGAGCGCGCTGGGCCAGTGACAATTTTTGTGGTTCGCGACAACGGCTGGGTGTTTCCCAATGGCCAGACGGTGCCGAAGTGCGTTTTCGACGCTCTTGGGAAGCCTGGAAATGAGCACATAATTCAAGGGATCTTCCAGTGGTTTGCTCTCCCCGGTAAGTTGCTTGTATTTGCTCTGAACAAAATATCGCCCCTCATCGAGAGCACTGCAAGTTTATCCCTAATGGCTTAACCTCTGCGTTTTGGGGCATTGAACACATAAGCAAACATGTGTAGTTGGCGCCAAAAAGAAAATCCCACAAACCTTTATGGTCGCTTGCCTTCGAATGATATTTTAAGTCCGTGGATTTTCCACTGCATTGTTTCCTCCACTTCTGGACGCATTTGAAACTATGGGCACGAACGCTGCATGGCAAACTTAGCTGTTGCTATAATTCCTCTGTAGGTCTCTTTCCAAGGAAATTGATAGAGAATCGTGACTGGCTTCCTGTTCTGGGCAAGCCTCCCAAGCTCGCCGTTGCTCACCTGAGGAGGCCGTGCCCACCAGGGGGACCAAAACGTCGGCCAACAACAAGCACTACTACAACTGCATCAACTCAGTCAAAAGGATCCACCACGAAGCGCAGTGAAAAGCCTTCCACTAAGTCGGGGGGTGCTTCATCTACAGCGCATAGCGGGAGGCGGCCTGATGCCGACTCCAGCAGTGCTTCCACCACAGCGAGGGAGCGAGGCCGCAGCTCCGCATCTGCAGGAGCAGACTCGGGGGCTAGAGGACGCTCACCGTCTTCCTCGAGTTCGCGGGAACAGAGCAGTGCCACAAGCAGGACACGAAGTACGACTTCGCCGCCTGATGGTGATGATGCAACCAGCAGCAGGGCACGATCTACGAGGGCTTCACCAGGAAACTCAACAACAAGCAGAAGGGAGCGTACTACCACAGAATCTAGTGATGGGTCAAGAACAAGCCGAGGGGCAAGAACGACCACAACAGCAGCGGATGACAGCTCTACCTCAAGCAGAAGATCACGATCTACTACGACCTCAGCTGCTGATGACTCTGCTACAAGTAGGAGAACAAGACCTACAACAACTTCAGCCGATGAAGATTCCGTCTCAAGCAGAAGGACACGCGCTACTACGCCTGCGCCAGACGGTGACTCTAGCACAAGCAGGAGGTCAAGGTCCACTACAACTTCCTCAGCTGATGACTCTGTTACAAGTAGGAGAACAAGACCCACAACAACCTCACCCGATGAAGACTCTGTAACAAGCAGGAGGACAAGGCCCACCACCAAAGCATCAGACGAAGACGCCGTCATGAGCAGAGGGACAAGACCTTCCACAACAGCAGCAGACGAAGACTCCGTCACAAGCAGAAGGACACGGGCCAGTACACCTGCACCAGATGGTGGCTCTAGCACAAGCAGGAGGTCAAGATCCAATACAACTTCTTCAGCCGATGACTCTGTTACAAGTAGAGGAACCAGGCCCACAACAACCTCACCCGATGAAGACTCTGTAACAAGCAGAAGGACAAGACCTTCCACAACAGCAGCAGACGAAGACGCCGTCACAAGCAGAAGGACAAGACCTTCCACAACAGCAGCAGACGAAGACTCCGTCACAAGCAGAAGGACACGGGCCAGTACACCTGCACCAGATGGTGGCTCTAGCACAAGCAGGAGGTCAAGGTCCACTACAACTTCCTCAGCTGATGACTCTGTTACAAGTAGGAGAACAAGACCCACAACAACCTCACCCGATGAAGACTCTGTAACAAGCAGGAGGACAAGGCCCACCACCAAAGCATCAGACGAAGACGCCGTCATGAGCAGAGGGACAAGACCTTCCACAACAGCAGCAGACGAAGACTCCGTCACAAGCAGAAGGACACGGGCCAGTACACCTGCACCAGATGGTGGCTCTAGCACAAGCAGGAGGTCAAGATCCAATACAACTTCTTCAGCCGATGACTCTGTTACAAGTAGAGGAACCAGGCCCACAACAACCTCACCCGATGAAGACTCTGTAACAAGCAGAAGGACAAGACCTTCCACAACAGCAGCAGACGAAGACGCCGTCACAAGCAGAAGGACAAGACCTTCCACAACAGCAGCAGACGAAGACTCCGTCACAAGCAGAAGGACACGGGCCAGTACACCTGCACCAGATGGTGGCTCTAGCACAAGCAGGAGGTCAAGATCCACTACAACGTCTTCAGCCGATGACTCTGTTACAAGTAGGAGAACCAGGCCCACAACAACCTCACCCGATGAAGACTCTGTAACAAGCAGAAGGACAAGACCTTCCACAACAGCAGCAGACGAAGACGCCGTCACAAGCAGAAGGACAAGACCTTCCACAACAGCAGCAGACGAAGATTCCATCACAAGCAGAAGGACACGGGCCAGTACACCTGCACCAGATGGTGACTCTAGCACAAGCAGGAGGTCAAGATCCACTACAACTTCTTCAGCCGATGACTCTGTTACAAGTAGGAGAACCAAGCCCACAACAACCTCACCCGATGAAGATTCTGTAACAAGCAGAAGGACAAGGCCCACCACCAAAGCATCAGACGAAGACTCCGTCACAAGCAGAAGGACAAGACCTTCCACAACAGCAGCAGACGAAGACTCCATCACAAGCAGAAGGACACGGGCCAGTACACCTGCACCAGATGGTGACGCTAGCACAAGCAGGAGGTCAAGATCTACTACAGCCTCAGCTGCTGATGACTCTGTTACAAGTAGGAGAACACGACCCACAACAACTTCATCCGATGCAGGCTCTGTTACGAGCAGAAGAACAAGACCTTCCACAACAGGAGCAGACGAAGACTCCGTCACAAGCAGAAGGTCAAGACCTTCCACAACCGCACCAGACGAATACTCCGTCACAAACAGGAGGACACGGATCAGTACGTCTGCACCAGAAGATGATTCTGGCACGACCAGGAGGTCACGAACTCCTACAACATCCTCCGCTGACGACTCTGTTACAAGTAGGAGAACCAGGCCCACAACAACTTCACGTGGTGAAGATTCCGTTACAAGCAGAAGGACAAGACCTTCCACAACACCAGCAGACGAAGACTTCGCCACAAGCAGAAGGACACGGGCCAGTACGCTTGCACCAGAAGATGACTCTGGCACAACCATGAGGTCACGATTCACTACAGTCTCAGCTGATGATGACTCTGTTACAAGTAGGGGAACACGACCCACAACAACTTCAGCCGATGAAGATTCCGTCACGAGCAGAAGGACAAGACTCCCCACAGCCGCATCAGACGAAGAAGCCGTCACAAGCAGAAGGACAAGACCTTCCACAACAGCAGCAGACGAAGACTCCGTCACAAGCAGAAGGACAAGACCTTCCACAACAGCAGCAGACGAAGACTCCGTCACAAACAGAAGGACAAGACCTTCCACAACAGCAGCGGACGAAGACTCCGTCACAAGCAGAAGGACAAGACCTTCCACAACAGCAGCGGACGAAGACTCCGTCACAAGCAGAAGGACAAGACCTTCCACAACAGCAGCGGACGAAGACTCCGTCACAAGCAGAAGGACAAGACCTTCCACAACAGCAGCAGGCGAAGACTCCGTTACAAGCAGAAGGACAAGACCTTCCACAACAGCAGCAGACGAAGACTCCATCACAAGCAGGAGGACAAGACCTTCCACAACAGCAGCAGACGAAGACTCCGTCACAAGCAGAAGGTCAAGACCTTCCACAACAGCAGCAGACGAAGACTCCATCACAAGCAGAAGGACACGGATCAGTACACCTGCACCAGATGGTGACGCTAGCACAAGCAGAAGCTCTCGACCTACTACGGCCTCAGCCGATGACTCTGTTACAAGTAGGAGAACACGACCCACAACGCCTTCATTCGATGCAGACTCTGTTACGAGCAGAAGAACAAGACCTTCCACAACAGCAGCAGACGAAGATTTCGTGACAAGCAAAAGGACAAGGGCTAGTACACCTGCACGAGAAGATGATTCTGGCACGAGCAGGAGGACACGATCTACTACAGCCTCAGCTGCTGTTGACTCCGTTACAAGTAGGGGAACAAGGCCCACGACAGCTTCATCCGATGAAGATTCTGTCACGAGCAGAAGGACAAGGCCTTCCACAACAGCAGCAGGCGAAGACTCCGTTACAAGCAGAAGGACAAGGGCTAGTACGCCTGCACCAGAAGATGATTCTGGCACAAGCAGGAGGTCACGATCAACTACAACTTCTTCACTCGATGACTCTGTTACAGGTAGGAGAACGAGACCCACAACAACTCAATCTGATGAAGCTCCTGTCACACGCGGAAGGACAAGCTCTACCACTACGCCACCAAACGATGATACTGTTACAAGTAGGACAAAGCTTTCAAGCTCTATTCCATTTGAAGCAGATCAGCAAACAGCTCGAAAATCTTGGCGAAGCCGCACAGCTGCAGCCGGTGAATCCGGACTTAGCTCATTGACCGAAACTGCATTGAGCACTACTGCACCTGATGCATTTGTTGGAGTGACAACGAGTCGTTTTTGGCCGCAATTTGGTGGCCACAACGATGAGATCGGGCTGGCCGATGAGGAGGTGACGGACAGATTTTCCGGCGAAGAGGGTAGGTGTGAGCGCGGGCAGTGCGCGTCTCCTGATTTCTTGGGAACTACATCGCGGCCGATGCCAGCAAGGAAAGGCTGGGGCTCCCTGCAGTACGACAGTAACGATTACACACACGGATTCCTCAGGGCCACACACAGCGAGAAAAATGACGTGCGCATGGGTATACTTCAGCCTGAACACCTTACGGACCTCTCTGATGATGGTGGTAAGCTAAGCTTTTGCAAACAAGTTGCGGCCATACCATCGGCATTATGCAGGGGAGTGAGAGGCTAGACCAGCTGTGTAAAAAAGCCAATAAAACCCCTGTTTTTACGAGCTTCACCAAAATGTGTACATTTTTCTAGCAAAATGCAAGCTGAAGCATTCACGTTGTTTACAGACTCCACGAAGATTATGCATGGAATCCTTCCCGAAGATATAACAGAGGCTCTGGAGTACAACGATATAGACTACGAGGGACTGCTACCTCGGCTGCTTCAAGAAAGGCCACAACGACCAAGGAGTTCAGGGGCTCCCGCTGGGGCGCGCCGCGAAGAGGGAGAGCAATCATCAGGTGGGTCCAACAAGCCTGACGATGACTCAAAGGCAACAGCAAAGAAACCTGGAACCGCTGAGAGTAAAGAAGACGAGGACGAAGAATACCCTGACCATTGCGGGGATCTCGCAACGTTTGTTGAGGGCCGCCAAATCATTGAATGGGTCAGTCAGCAGTATGACGATGCAGACTTGCGAGTAGAAAGCACAGGAGAGACTTCTCCAACAGTCATTCACATCTTGAAGCTAAGCTCGTTAAAATGTCTGTATTTCATACCTTAGAGAATCTGAACGTGAACACTATATCAGATCTACCTGATTCATCCCTTCTATTTGCTCTTTAGGATATTCCAATCTTCAACGGAATTGTACATGTGCTTGGTTCATCTGTCTTGCGACCGGATATCGAGTCGATCGCAACCAATATTGCTTTCTGGCAGTGCACCCATCAGTTCTGCTTTGAGTGCCCGATGCTGACGCCGTTCTTGCTCAAATTCCTTGACGACATCGGCATTATAACGGGGAAGAAGCCCTTCGAATTCTCACCTCCTCCTGGCGTCCGTCCAGATTGGGTCAGCAGAATTACGTAATCTACCTGTCCTCTTTTTATGCTTGCTTTTAGAAAGAGGCGATGTGACCCTAGTATGTTGCCGTTCTAATTGTTCCTTACTACAACTGGGATTCAGCTGTCCTGAGTCAGAAAATTTAAACGACATGGATTTGAAATCTAGAGGCCCATATTTCTGCAGGTGTTGTCAATTTGAACTCTTCTCAGGTTTGCAGGGGAGCTTTCGACTACTACCCAGCAGGCTGGACGAAACAGTCTTGGCTTAAGTATCTTGAGACAATGCACTCAGCTGATAAAAGAACCATGAAAAGGAATGCTGAGCTCGTGACCAGGGCTGCTTATGAGCGGCAACAAATAGCCTTACTTTACGAGAGCGTTCGGTGAGCTGCATAAATCTGCACAGACGCCTGTGCTGCTTTGTGAACTGAAATTGCTCTTGGGCTGGCCGCAATATGTGTCCATTTGTACTCCTCTCTGTGGCTTCTTCGCAATTGTTTGTACAATTGCTTCATGCTATGTGAAGATCTGTCGCTTTGCTTCCTTCCATAGGTTACAGTCAATTGAGGCAAGGCGAAGATATGATCCCTTGCGCCCGATAAGCGACCCGATGTACGACCCGAACTACAAAAACATGAAAAAATCCTTTGACGAGAAGAATTTCGAGTGTAAGGGCGAGGTGGTCAATAGAGAACTCACGCATAAACAGATGCACAAAATTCTTCCAGCTGTCTACCCGTGGAAAGGCTGATGTCTTTGTCGACCAGCTACTACCCGCCTTCGAGTGGACTGAGCCCGGCATATTTGTGGCTGATGGAATGCTGCTTTACGAACCCGGATGCAGAACATCCTACCAACCTAAATATGGCGGCTGCGCCGTGTACAGCGCCACCCCAATTCGAAAGCCATTAGTAGAATTTTCTGTCTGGTTGCCTAACTTGCTGTCAATCCGTCTCTTCCTGATTTTATCAACACATTCTCAAACAAACCGTGCTTGTGTCCATGTAGCCCCATAAGTGAAAGAATCAGCAAGTCCTCTCCCCTTAAATCGTGATTATTTAACCCAGGCATAGGCAGCGCCTTTACAATGGCTGTAGTGTGTCCCCTTTCTATTGACCTTGCGGACGGTATTCCTCAGTTACTAAGTATACGAATGTACGTAGCAGACTCCGAACCTTTGCCGGAGTGGCCTTTATGCCTCCCGGAATGAGGGTGCAGATCCCAGGAATTATTCATGAGAAACCACAGTTAATGTGTATGGCCATATCAAAATTTAGGGATGTTTGATATACGGACCGTATGTCGGGGCGAGAGTGCGTGCCCACCTCCCAAATATGTGAGACGCCACTTGTAACTGTAGCACAAGTCAATGTTCTGTGTACATAACACTATAATTTGTTTTACCCCACAACTGAACCTCATTTGAGACATATTATGCTTGCTGCACATGCTTTGAACTGCACGGCGAAAGATCGAGCAGATCACCCCACATTTATGGAGTAAAGACGGCCTTCTCGCAAAGCAAGCCCTACACTTAGCGTTCACTGAACAACATCGTCATTTAAAGTTCGTTTTGTGAAAAGTTGATTGTACAGATTAGCAACACATCCCCAAGAGAGGGTTGTATCGCCCGAAACAGGCGTCAGCCTGGTGACCAATTGTATGATTTCGTCATTCGCTGCTTATGTTGAGTATACCACACCTTTAGCGTGGAAATCTACAACATAAATTAAAATGAAAGCAGCTTCTAAGAGTAAAATGCAATTTCGAGGGCAAAACATATACTCTGTGCTCTCGAAGTAGAGAGCAACCTGAGAAGTGGGGCATCCGCTTCCTTCTGCGGAACTTCCGCTTCCAAATCCTGTATTTCGTGCAACTGATACAAAAATTTGCACGAATAAAACAGAAGAATCAATAAGAACCTATGCAAGGTTCGTTTTAGGGACAAGAATCTGCGTTTGGTCTCTTATTCGCTGTTGGCAGGCTAGCGGGGGTGGGGCTTCGACTGAGCGCTTACAGATCGTCGACTGTACTCGAACGGGATCACTTCTATAGGCGATCCACACGTTCACCACTACATCGACAGACAACACCACAAGTCGTGAAGATGAGACAGGCGCCCTGCCGAACCTTGAAGGGAGGCCCTGCCTGCAAAGGTGGCGGCTTTGATGATAAGGGGAATCGGGCGGACAGCCCCATTTCCATCGGCGTGGGCGGGTCTGAGCGACGCCTCACAAAAAGTATTTGCAGTGTTGCATGCATAGTCCTTGGTTGGGTTATTGTTGTTTGTGCGAGTTTTGTTTTGTGTGACGCGCTCCGTTTCGGCGGAATCGATGTATCTGTGAACTGCCCTCTCGGGGGTCCCGGGGGGTCGGTCAGTCTCTCGCACGTCAAGGATAGCCATTCTCCAGTAGTTTTTTGTACTGTGCAGCATCCACGTGTCTCAGTTGGTGCAGGCCTTTAGTGCACAAGAATGCAAGGAGCAGCGACGCCGACCACCCGGTCCTCACCGACAGTTTCGCAGGTGTCCTAAGGCAAGCTCAATGAGAACAGAAATCTCATGTTGACCAAAAAGGGAAAAGCTTGCTTGATTTTGATTTTCAGTACGAATACAAACTGTGAAAGCATGGCCTATCGACAGTTTCACTCAGCAGTTCATTAATAACAGCAGCGGCTTCAGAGGCAATTCAGAGTTATTTGTTGACGCTAAGCAGCATGAGCATAGTTACACACTGCTCTGTATCACCTGTAAGGGTAAATCCTTGTGTTGGGACCGTTGCTGTTGCCACGTAAATGGAGATCTTCCGAAACAGTTTCTACGGAAGTAACCGGGACAACAACAGCTCCTAAACTGGTTTTGAACATTGGTTGTAGCGGGGAACAACTCTTTCAAGGGCGTAATGCCTAATCGTTGGAGTGTTCATCCCTATTCTACATTTTCACTCTTGTGCGCATTTACTGCATTTCAGTGCAAGGCAGCCGTTGGCGCCGAATCACTGGAATTGGGAAGAGTCCCACAGGAGGTGAATGCAGATGTGCAGCAGCCTCGAGCTAGGGATTGTTGGAATGCCGCTGCTCATTCACTTAAATGAAGAAGCAAAATGCTAAAGTTCTGAACAAAAGACCGCTAGCAAGCGCGCCCTCCTGCGTCTGTCCACCGTTGTGACAGATCAAAATAAAGCAGTGCGACTAAGACGATGCACAAGATATCGCCCTGGGGTTGTTCCCTCTGTAGATCTTCTCCAGCTCTCGAAAGCCCCGCCCCATGCACTCTACCGGACACTACGGACATGCAGGCATGCATGCAACTGTGCGCATTCATATGTGTGGCTCCAGCCACGCATGCAGATTTGCACACTTCCGTGCATGCACACAGTGCATGCGCTCCAGCAGCAGCGTAGTCAGCCGGTCTTGTTGCACAAATGCAACGGCTACTCCGTGTTGGTACTGCCCCTGCGCACAAGTCCACAGCAGAAGAAACGGGGCCTTCAACAGCAAACACCGCTGGCGCTGCTGCGGCGCAGCAGGTAAACTGCAAAGAATAATAAATCCTCTAAGGATTTTAATAGGATATTTAAGGCGTGTTTACTCTCAAATAAGAATATTTACTCTATTTACTCTGTCTAAAGATGACTCGAACAAATAGAGCTAATTTACTTCGTCTAAAATGCGAATATTTACTCCGTCTAACGACGACTTGAACAAATAAAGCTAATTTACTTTGTCTAAAGATGACTTCAAGAAAGAAAGCTAAAAGTTCAACTCGCTCACTGGCCAATTACATGAGTGCAAATTAGTTTCACTTCTGCCGAGCCTTACGTGCTCATAATTAACGAAATGTTTTCTCCCTTCAGCAAAATCCTGCCGACAAACACGCGAGTATTCTTCTTGAGGTGAATTTCCTCCGCGTCGTCCAAAACCATATTCATGTATTCATCAAATCCCTGGAAAAGAACAAACCCTAAACCCTAAACCCTAACCCTAGGCCTTGCAAGTGCAGAAAGCAGCAGCAACGAAACAGCAAAACTGCCGCAGCAAACCGCTGCACTTAAAAGCTGGCTAGATCTCCGTGAGAGAGTACAACACGGCCAGAAATGTCAAAGTTCACCTGAAAAAGACCGAACATTTGCTGCATAAGTGGAAATGAAGTCAAACAGCAGCTCCCAGCTCACCATAATGCGGCCTTCAATGCGCAAGTCCGGCTGTTCGTACAGCCAAAGCTGAACTCGACTCTTGTTTGTGAAAAACCTGAAAATCAGGTTCTGCAGAGGCAAAAGGCAGCAGCACAAGGTTTGGAATGAAGCCGAAGGCAAGAGCAATTAATAAGATAGCCACAAGTCCCCACCAGGATCTCAGAGTGCATGCAGTGTACAGCCCATACACATTCTCTCCCCTTGTATTCTACTCTGTAGTCTTCATAGAAAATATCAAAGAGAGCGACAGAACTGAGCCTGGGTGATCTCGTGGGCGCTGCAGCAACTCCCGTGTTGTAGCATTCGCGTGGTGAAGGATTGCAGTCTTACAATCGGCTGAGTCATAATTTTTTGGAGCTTCTTGTTGCTCATTTGGTGCGTCATTTTCGTAAAGAGGAGTGTAGAGCTCGGGGTAGCGCGCCGGCCAGAAGATCTTCTGCTTAACGATACAGCAGAAGCTGTAGATTAGAAAAATTGACAAAGATGAATGTTCAGCCCACGAGCCGGCGTTCTGCAACTCCGAACTGGCTGCAAGTGGTGCAGCCGCCACGAAAAGCTGGCCTGAAGGGTTGGCGCTGCCCCTCCCGGCTTCTACTAACAAACAAAATAGATCAATAAGAGCCTTCAACGCCAAAAAAGTGAAGCAGCTTCAGGAAATAGGTCCGTAAGGATTGGTAGGCGGGTTTCCCTGAGGCGGCGCATGCACCGGCATTCACAGGGTGGCCAGGAAAGGAAAGGTTGAGAAGGAGAGTGGAAGGAAACAAAAAATTCCTCTCCAATTTGCTACAATTAGCGTAAACTAGACCTATGGAATTGGAAAATTCAACCTTTTCCAGTCAGGAAGCCACACGAGCTCTCCCAACGAGGGCTGGTGGGGTGCGTACCAGCGGAGCCGGCTGCTGCTGCTGCTGCTGCGTTCCCGATCCGGGGTATATTCAGACACGGGGAGGGGCTGATACTTATTTTCAAGTGGACTTATTGAAACTCGCACGCCAGAACATTAGTCAAGTTCTTAGGAGCACACGCCGCTAGTGCCTGAAAAGGCAGGCCTCCAGTGTGTAACCTGCAATGGCGTGGGCGTAGAACTCAGCGGCTCTGCGACGTGTTCGGCTGCGCCTTCTACGCATTTCGTTCTTTTCCCTTTTGCCAAATTCACTGATGTTTTGTGCTTGCTGAGACGGGGCTGGAATAAGAATGTTTACGTAGCTCGAGAGCTGCTGGCGGTGCAGGCGTAGACAGCCGAGGTGGCAACAAGTTGGAAAGGTCTTCTTTTTGGCCTTAACTCACCTCCGTCGGGATTTTAAAGTCAAAAATCTTGCAGCGGGAAAGATGGAAAGCTATTTGAACCGCGCAAATGCAGTTTTCTGCGCACTTATGGTCAGCCTCAGCGTCCTGGCCATCGGAAACGTCATATCTTCCTACTTCCTCATGGGCCCCATATCGGGATCCATCGCCGTGAAAGACGTGTACGGCTTCAGTTACAACTACGCCTTGAACGTGAGCATTGCTTAGAAGAGTTTATCAATTCAATTCTGTATTGTTTTGTTGCAGCTTCCCAGAGTGTCCTGCGCAGGGACTTGCATGCGCTGGCCCAGTGCACTACACTGGTGTTTCTGCTCCCCTCGGGGAGTTGTTTATATTCTTAGAAGCCTCGCTGATTTACATTCGTTTCGCGTTTTTTGGTGAGGACATTCTCGTTGTTTGCAGATGATGCTTGTGCTTGTTTTAGGGGGACCAGGCAGTTTTGTCTTTGGACATAAAGGCCGATCTGCGGGGTTTGTTTCAGTGGAACGCGAAACAGGTGTACCTGTTTGTAGTGGCTGAGTACGAGACGCCGCAGCACCCGACGAACCAAGTGGTGGTGTTTGACCGCATCATTATGGATGACGGCGTCGCTGTAATAGACTGGCCGAACACTCCCGCGAAGTACCATTTTAGAGATAAAGGGAGGGGTCTGAGGGGCCGCGAAGTGACAGTGAAGCTGCAGGTTGTCTACCACCCCATTGTGGGCCGTATGTACACCCAAACCATCGCCACGAACACCTTCCGCATGCCCGGCCAGTACGACCGCGTCACGCACAAGCAGCAGCAGGAGCAGCAGCAGCAGCAGGCGCGGGAAGCAGCAATGGCTGCTGCTGCCAGGCCGGAAGACATTGCATAGCCGCAGCTGCAGGCCTCGCCAGCAGCAACTGCCTCTGCTCTTGCAAACTCAATCTGCCTTTTGTTTGAAGTCGAGGCCCTCTAGTTGCACCCCAGGTGCCTTAAACGCGTGCTGCTTCTTAAGCTAAAGCTTTACTTAACAGCAATAAGCTAAAGCTTTACTGGACAGCAAACTTCCCAAGACCCCCCGTAGCCCCATGAAAGGCTGGAGTGTCTTCGTAGTGAAACTTCGCCGGGTGGGGGTGGGGCCCCGCTGTCGGTGTGCAAATCATGTACAGTCTTTTCCTTACGACTTGCATTCTCTGGTGTGGACAGGAAGCAACTTTTGCTGGTCTTTGGCTTCAGTAGAGGCCGCGAAAACTCTAGCTTGCAAGTCTAGAGGAGTGCTTTGGTGGTTTGTTGAGAGGGGCTCATTAGAATGTGCTTAGAACTAGAAATTCAGATGAATATTCCCCCAAATTCACAAAAGAAGTACTATTTTGCATTCTTTTGGAGGAAACAGCTGCCGTCTTGCCCCATGCCTCCCTCCCAATTGGCCAAATGGACCAACACTCAGCGCCCAGCAGGGAAAGCCTCAGTGGGGTTGCCACATTAAGAAGCCAGCTGAGCACTACAACTCAAATGCTGGATGTTTTTTGCTGCAGTTTATTGGGCAAGTAGTTGTTGTTTTAGATAGAGTTGAGAATAAGAGTTGATAAGGTGAGATGGAGCAGCAGCGTAGGCAAGTCTAGAGCGCTGAAGGCGCGCTTCCTCTTCCCAGTAGAAAGACAGCAGTGGAAAGTGGCCATCATTTGACTCTGAGTTCCTCACAAGATGTGAACTGAGGAAACTGAGGAGTGCGAGTAAGTTTTTTACAGCTCGAAAACTTCGCCCAAAAGGTTTGAACCAAAATGCGTTTTTGCAGGATAAAGTTTAGCATCAGCATGTTCCATTTGGGTAGGTCACAGTGGCGCCAGAAACGCCGAGGTAAGAAGCAACAGCTTGGCAAAGGGCAAGAGAAAAGGGTGAAAACTATGAACATCAATGAGCTGCAACAGGTGCCTTACTGGGCACTCTGCGCCGCAGCAGGCCTGTCTTCACATGCCTTACGGTGAAAAATAACGTTTGATACCGTCTCTAAGGGTTGATTGCCACAACAGGTTCAACAAAGCACGGCCTTGCTTGCACTGTTTGCTCAGGAATACTCTTTACGTGCACCCTGGTGCTCTCCGATAGCATTTCAATCGAGCTGCGACCTCTGGGCGCTGAGCCACATGATAGCAATAGAGGCACTTGCTATTGTAGAAGATGGAGTTTTTGCTTGTTGCATCTACTTCCTTGATTTCCTAAGGTGCTGCTCGAGGTAGATGGTGAATCCCCAAAGGCCGCAGCACTGAGCCTACGTGAGCGATCAGACAGGGAACCGGCGTACCCCAGTTCAAGTGAAGTTGCTGAACTTCGGCGACCCTAGTGTGATTCGACAACCAAATTTTAAAGAAAAACCAGAGGCAGCGGTAGTTTGAGAATTCTTCGTCGCGGTTTTCATGTCCTGCGCATGAGTGAGTGCCGGGTGCTCGTCAGTGGCGGGCAGTCGACAGGCCAAACCGTAACAAAACTAAAGCGACTAATATCTTATTTGAGCATTTTTGAGCTTCAAAACTAGATTTATGGTTGAAGAAAATGAATAGTTTGATAAACGAGAAATTTCAACGGAAACACTATGATGGGATTCATGCGCCCTGGAATAGCGAATCGGTTTATTTCGCCGGTCTCGTTTCCAGAGACACAGAGTAGGCTTGACTGATGTCTCCAGTGTGTTCCCTCGTCACAAATCGTCTTTTACAGTGTTTAGATTATATTTACATTTGAAAAAGTAAGACTTTCTTGGCAAGTGTTTTACCTTTTCTGTCTTCGGCAGCGCGGTTCATTAAGGAGCCGTGCGTTCAGTAGTTTTGAAGGCAGTGCCGCCTTCGACTGCCCTTTTGGAACCAACGTTGAAACGTTGAGCCGTAGACAAAAAGAAACATAGAAAATTATGACAGGCAATTTGGATGAAATATCTCTCTTTTGACGGCCCTCTTGATAGGTCACAAAGCTTCCTTTACCTGTGTATCTCCGAAGTGTTGCGCAGTTTTTTCCTCCCACAAGCAGGAGAATAACAGCCCTTTCCTCCCCCCACCCCCACTTTTCATAAAATTTTCCCCCAATGTTTCGTTTGTTCATTCCAGTGCTGCGAGCAAGGCATGCCTCATTTCTGATGAGCACCTGCCGTGCGATGTTCGTGTTTCTTTGTACATTTCTTGTCCTAACCTTTCTCTCTATTGACTTCTGCAAATCTTTGTCTTTGAAACATTCTCATGGTCTAGGGCACCCCAACACTGGGGCCGTGGCATTAGGAGGCTCAGCGGACAACTTGGTGGAACTTGACCCACCTACTAATGCACCGGAGACCTCCGTGTACGTTGACCAGGGAAAGCTCGGGGATTTTCCCGACATGAATACCGAAGAACCTCCTACGAAATCGCGTTACCCTAAACCTTTACGCGCAGTGGCAAGACTCTTTGCCAGCAGGTGGCTGGCCTCCCGAAAGCGAAAAAGGCGTCTGGCCCTTCAGATCTGTTACTGGTACTTACGAGGCCGGCATAAGCGTGTGACTCCATCGAAACTTTTAATCTTTTTGCCTGACGCGAATGCGGATGGGGTGGGCAGCAGGAAAAAAATGCCTCGCGGGGGCTGCTGCACTATGCGTAAGTCTTCTCCAAGGTTCAGGCGGGCAAATTGAATGACTACAGGAAAACTAGCAACCACCAGTCTTGCCAAATAGTACAACACTACTCACCATCTAAATGAAAACGGGGCTCAGTAGCAGGAGATGAATGTTCACACCCAGCCTAATTTTGGTACTAAGAAATGTGCTTCTGTCCGATTTATTTCAGCCCGGTTCCGCCGCAAGGGAAGTGAAATGCTTGCTGACACCGATCCAAGCCTATCCCAAAAAGACATACAAACGGCATTTCGGGTCAACGAAGCGTTTCGCGAACTATTTGAGCATATCCACAAATGCGAAGGTCGAGTTAAAAGAAGGCAGCCTGCAAGTTTTTGTATTGATGCGTTCGTCACCTCTCCCCTGACTGTTAGTCTACAAACCGCCAGTATATCGACGGTAGCGATGGGCAAGGAAATGGCTTGCAAAGACCCCAAACAAACTTTGGAGGAGAAAAGCCGAGTTACATGGTTGATTGACCCCATGCTACGTGAACAACTCTCCGGCCCGAGTGAGACTGGCACGGAATTAAACGAATTACTTACTCGTCTCAACGAGCTTTACGATAATGTGCAAATGGCAAGAACTGCAATAGATATCGCAACCATGGCAGCAGGAGAAACTTGGTGGAGCCCCTACACGAAAGATGAGCTGGAGACTATCTTGCACAGGAACCGTCTAGTGGCCCCAGGACAGATTTTGGCTGACGAGGATTCGGCTACAGGTGAGGAGGCAGCTGCGGCAGAAGAAACGGAAGCAGGCGAAGCTGCAAGCGCTGCCGCAGACGCGGATCAAAGCACTGTAGTCAAGATCGGAGACCCGGAGGTGATGCCTTTAACTGCAAGCGCACGGGCACTCAGAGATACAATTAAAACTGTGGAACGACCGCTCCACAACCGCAATGACGAGGGAGCAAGCGCCGAGCGCCCTGTTCGGGAGTCGGATGACCTCGTTGAGCTTAGAGGGAAGGTGATATTACACGTGCTGTGCAAAACAGAAGCACTTACTACGGTTTTGCTCGTTTCTCACAAGAAGCTTCTGGAAAAAATGCTACGGAAGCGCATCTCGCCGGCAAAGTTGAAATTTGCCATTTTATCATGCGGAGTAGAGCCCAGCTTGGCGGTATTAAGTTCGAAGACGCCTGTGTCATCGATACAGCAAAGCTTAGGTGATTTGTCACAGTTGCCAGCCCAGGAAGAATAGATGTGCGAAGCGGGGAAGAGCCGATGCGTTATGGGAAATATGAAAGTCTTGTAGATATTGGTTGAATCAGAGACCATTCCGCCGCATCTGATCATCCTCCCACTGTACGCTAAGGACTTGACCTAGATGTGTTTTAGTCAAGATCTTTTGGGTCTCCTTTGAGGCAAGAAACGTTTTTGAGTGTTTCACGCAGGACGCCATGAAACTGACAGATTTGGGGGGGTTTCCAGCTAGCTTGATTACTATTATGCTTGTAGGCTACCCCCCAGTGTTTTAATTTGATTGTTTTCTATTATTGTTTATCTCCTTCGTTGTGATTGTCAATCGCGCGCCTTCTTCGATTGCATACATGTGCTTAAAACCCAAACGCCCTCCAGAATTTCTCGCCTTTGGTTTATTTTTCGTCGAAAGCTCCGCGAAAAAAAACACAGAAAGCTGGATGGAGTCGGACCAAGCCATTTTCGCACATGATCACTGGGGTGTATCAGAAAAACTCCTACGCAGACGATAATGACCAGCTAAACTAGCATCGGAAAATGATGGTTGTCTTTTTGCTAATTAACTATTTCACTACGAACTCTACAGGAGCCTCAATTAGTTGCACCGGATACACAATGCTAAATCAACAGATGAAAATGACGCCTGTATAACATTACTGAGGTGGAAAGATAGTTCTCCATGCAAAGAAACTAGTGATATCTTCATTCAATATTCCACAGATTTTATCTCTGCGTATGTTCCAATTAGCTGCAGCCATGCCGAGTTGGTGGCATTGTGCCATTAGAAGCTGGTACGATAATTCTTGCTTCGTTTGCGCTGTTTGCACAGTGCGCAAAAAACAAAGCATAGGGCAGCTTCACACACCCAGCTGCAAGATCTCTTCTGCAAAGCATATGTTGTTCTACTATTTCCTCTCACTGTGCTCTATCAAATAAAAATTATTTATCTTTATGGGGCTCGTGGGGTCGCTCCCGAGTTGCCCATGATTCAGCCATCAACTTTTTAGGCCTCCTAATTCTGCAAGACAAAGTTACAAAAAAACCCAACTTACGTACAGTGCACGCCGCTGTGACCGACTCTTGCTGCAGCAAGCATCACTTTTGGACCCCATCAACACTTCTAGAACTTTGCTGACTTGCAGAAAATTCGATCAAATGCGCGTCCAAAATTAGACAGCAGTAGCTGCAGCAAGTGGCATTAGTTGCGTATCTAGTGGCGCCCGGCATTTCGTCTCGATGCCGTTGGAGACAGAGTTAGTACAGGCACAACAAAAGGCATGTTAAAGTGCAGCTGTCCACCAAATTAGCAGCTACAGCCCAGTGATTCAAACTAGGTGAAAGAAGGCGTTAGGACAAAGGCTAAATAAGCTTGCATATTGTTTTTTTTTCTGCCACACTGCTGTTCAGAGTTATCTTGCTGCTAAATTTATTCACTTAGGGGGTAAAACGGCAGCTCGAGAGTTCTGTGCGATATTGTATCGCACTGCAATGCAGCACTGCCCTCTCAGGGTTTCGAAAAATAGTAGCACAAACTGCCGCCTATTAGGTAGATATCCGCGGAAGTTTCTTCCAGTTTGTGACAATTGAAGCCAATCTATCACAACTCTCCTCCTTAGCATTACCAGAATCAAATGACATTGACTTTTGCAACAAGGTCCGCCAAACGCGAGCCTGGGCCCAGCGCACTGCCAAACTTTCAGTCCTTTCCTGTCTAATGGACCACAAAGTTGCAAGGTTCAGCTCACGCGGCTATACCGATTTCGACTCTCACTCTTAAAGTTCCACTGGATACAAATGTAGTGCTCGAAGAGGCTTAAGCTAATGTGAGTACTAAAAATCCTTAGATGAGAAGCCGTAAGCATTTTTAGTGGAACAAGGCCATTGCCACAGGTTGAAATCTAGTACTTACAAACAAAGAGGCGCATATTGAACGCAGCTCCCTTATTGAAAGAAATATCTAACACTAAGATATCAAGTGATTTAATGCTGTGCTTCCTTTGTGTGCACTGGTGTGCGTAGACGGTCCCATGGTGTGCTATGGTGGCGCAGGAACACGTTCGTGGCAATCCAAAGGCTGTAACGCTCGAAAGTTGCCAAAAGCTCAGCCTCATGCATTGTATTTAATGGTTAAGCATCAGTTTTCGTTGTTTTGCGCGGCTGTGGCACTGTTCATTCAATAAAATTCGAAGTCTCGAGACAGTTAACAGTTCGCCCACACTCCGCCTCTTGGCGCCAAAACAATTACTTTTCTGGAAAAAGAAGAACTCTAGGAGCATCCAAAACCCACCTTACAGACGTGATTATCAAATGCAGAGCTACAGGTTTGAAACCTTGGCTCGGTGGGAATGTTTTGTTTCGACTGTAGCTTTCTCGCATTTGTCTGCGGCCACGTGCCCCACATCCTTCTTAAATGCTTCAGGATTAAGGGATTCGGTAGGCATAGGCCTCTTGCATTTGTAAGGGAAGCGGAGAAGGCAAAGTTTGGTGTCCTTTGGTGGGCAGCAGCAAGTGATTTTGCTGCTTGGTCTTCCCTGTCACCTCGTTCCCCAAGAAAAGCCCTCCGGGCCGCGAAAGTTTCAGCGAAAGTCCATCAAAAAACTTTAGAACCCTTAAAGGGTTTAATATTCATAATAACGGCGTAGGGTATGGAGTTTTTGTTCTTGGATAAGTCTTGCTCCGGTAGGCTGCTGTCTTGTGGGAACGCTTTCAGAGTACGACGGTGTGCATTTCAGTCTTCCGGTTGAAACTGTCTAAAAGATGTGAATGAAGGCTATACCTAATCACAGCACCGTTAATTGTGCATTAATTAGTCTAGCTGAAAATGTCTAAATCCATTTAAATGCTTCAGGACGAACGGCATTCATCTGTGAAGCCTCCATTTTCGGCGCACCCCATGTGTGACCATCCGCGGTCCACAGGACGCCCATTTCCCTGGGAGCTCAATGCGGGCTTTATCAGTTTCCGTTTCAAGACACATTAAAAAATTCGGTACTCAGTGGTAGCATTGTCGTCTCTGTTGTTCATTTTTTTAGTTTGTGCAGTCGACCGTGTCACGCGACACCAGGGGACTCATCGACCCGTGGCGACCCCGGCTTACTGCAACGGAGCGCCATTAAAATGTGCAAAGGGCAGGTAATTAATTGAAGGTGATTGACTTTAAAGGACATTTTAAGGAGCAGACAGCAGAACGGGAGTGGTCACGAGGTGATCTGAAGGCGAAAACATGCCGTGTTTGTTTCGAGCCTTCCAAAGTTGAAGAGCAGCAACACCCAACATCTTCCGGTCTACAATTCTGGTTATGCACTAAGAATGGAGTCAACTTGGCTTTCTTATGCCCCACGTCTTGGGAAACGCGGGCTTTCCCTGGGCACCCGCGTTTCAGCTCTATGGATTCTTTCGGCGTGCCTAGCTTTACCCATTGCTGTTATTGACCTCAGCTGGCCGTTGACTCCGCAGACTGCTGAGGCCATCAAGATGCCTCCCAGAGGAGCAGTTTCGTTTGGAGGCTCTACAGACCAGCTGCTGGCACTTGAAGACGTGGAACCAGAAACGGAGTCTGCAGTGGCGAGGTCTCAAGAGCGAGGCAAAGGCAAAGCCCGCCCCCGAAAGCGCAGGTCAAGGGTTCGGCGCTCTCTACAGAAACTCTTTAAAGGACAGACAATCGCAAATCAAAGAAGACGGAAACTCCTCGCCCGCGAAATATGCAACTGGCATGTTTTCGAAAGGTACAGTGCCGGAGCTCCATCAAAGCTGCTCATTTTCTTGACCACTGCAGGACAGAAGGAAGAGCGGTCTGGGGGCTGCTGCGGTATGAGTAAGCATTTTAGCTTCTTCCATATTAACAAACCTAAAGCCCCCTTCTTTTCTTCCTAATCGTTTGTGGAAGATACAAATACAAGTTGTTTATAGAGATACAATGCTTGGAATGGATGAAACTAGTCAAAGTGTGTTGAACTCATGTACAGTTTTGATGCCTTTTTTGAATTTTTGCATCTGATGTATCTCAGGAACCCGGAGGAACCAAAGCGTTGAAGTCGATCCCCCACTTTCCACCCAAGCTGAGGACGATGCATTGGATCTCAATGGAGAGCTTTTGGCATTGTTTCAAGACGTGCAAAAGTGCGAGAAGCGCAAAAGGGGAACAGGGCATTCATCATTTTGTGTTGACGCTTTCGTCAGCTCCCCCCTAACGGCTGCCATACAAACTGCCAGCAAAGCGACCGCCATAGTCGGCAAAGATATTGCATGCAAAGATCCTCACCACAATGAGACACCCAGAACCCGAGCGACCTGGCTGCTTAGTCCACTGGCGCGTGAACAGGTAGAGAGTTTAGCAGACGTGGGAACAGAGCTTGAGGAGCTGCTGAGGCGTCTAACTCACTTTTTTGAAACTGTACAATTGGAAAGGACTGTTGTTGATACGGGGGTCATGGCTCCGGGACAGCCTTGGTGGTATACCAACACCGAAGCTCAACTGCGGGATGCTCTTGAAAGAATTCGGGCGTTGTCCTCCGATACGCCATCTTCACAATTTGGAGAAGCAGCAGCGGGGGTGACTGCAGGGCCGCAAGAAGGGGAATCAGGCCTGGCCGCAGGCTACAGCGCTTCCAGCGTAGTCCCGATCGGATTTCCAGATATTCTTCCTCCATCTAAAGGTTCAAAAGCCCTCAAGACAGCACTTGACTCGGCAGAAGCACTTCTGCTCAGCAGCGTTGACTCAGGAACGTCCGCTGACATACCTCCTCGGGAATCACAGGAGGCGGTACTGCTCAGGGGAAAGATGCTGTTGCAAAGTTTATGCAATGCAGAGCCACTAAGCACCGCTTTGATTACAACACACGCACGATTTTTGGATGGGCTTTCAAGATACAGCACTGTCGATTCAGCGACCATAAAAGTTGCTATATTGTCCTGCATTGCAGAGCCTACTCTGCAGTTTCTGGAGGAGCTGCAGGACATCAGTGGAAAAGCAAGAAGCAATAGCTTCTCCTCAGAAGACTCACAGGAATCTGGCCAAAGTGGATGGAGTTGAATTGTCTCGCCATGCAAAGCGCAAATGCGGTGAACCTCCTGAGCCTAGCTATCTGGGAAACCAATTGACACTTCCACGGAATAATATTCATCTTTGTAAAAAACTGAAGAAAATCATGCAGAACATACAATTGTTTTTTCATTCATTATCGAAAGACATTGCAGAATGTCCTCTGCCAGCAGGCTTAAAATGCTTGTTGGAAGTACATTGTCATCTGCGCACCTAGAGACACCGACAGTGCCTATAATGGGAAATAATGTGCAGTGAAACGCGGCGTTGCTTTCTTACTTTTCCAGACGCTGCTTTATGCTGCAGACACAGAACATGCACACTTATTTGTAGCTGAATTACGCTGTTCCCGCCCAGTGGTGCCCGCGCCCTAAAGATACTTAAATGGAAACGGTTAGACCCGCTGTAGCTCACTCTTTGCCAACCATGACTGTTCAGCCCCTCATTCGCTACAAAATAAGACATACTAAACATCTACGAATGCAATAGTCTAGCAACGAAATATCTGCTCCTCGAACTGAGCCTTCGGCCCACCCATGAAGCCACATATTCGATTTTGTGACGCGGATTTGGAAATCCTTCACGAATGTGAGGAGTAAAACACTTATTTTGACCCCTATAAAGGCGAGCCTTCATCTTTTCAGCTTCGCGTTTTTTATCCCGAGTAATTCTCCACATTTTGCGGTGGGATTTCGCCAGTCGCAGCGTGAGGCTCGAACCAGGCAGCAGTACGGCGGCACAGTTGTTTTTCCTTTTTCCGGAAGCAGGTTAAACCGCTTAACCTGCTCTTTGCAATAGCACTGGTGACCGCAGCGGAGGACAATTGAATGCTGTGTTCCTTAACAAATGCTTCTTCGATTTTTAACGAGTACTTGTTTCCTTAACAGCGGATACTGCTAGGTGACAGGCTCTCCCGTTGTACGTCGCCAAGTATGTTCACGAAAGTATATCCAAAATGAACATTAAGATTTTCAGATTTTGACAGAGAGGCGGACAGACGTGTGGCCAAGACAGGTAACCTCTTAGCCCGCTTTTGGGCCTCGAGTTCTAGCTGGCCTGAAAACAGAGAAACTTGACTGAAGTTCGTCGCTGCATGGTGCGTGAGAGAACAGGATTTTCCTTTTTTTTGAATCTTATGAGCTAAGCGATTAGTCTCAACTAAAAGAGCTGCTCCGGTCGGTCTTCTCACAGTAAAATGCTTGCATGCACACGCATTACTTTCCTTGTGCTTGTGTTAACATGCTTCTGTGTCCATGCCTTGGTAGCTGATTCCTCGTGATATTATGGACTTCTATGTCAATGCTGTGGTTTCTTCCTCGAAATTTCCGCCCCATTGGCATTCATTGTTGTCCCTTCCTGGCAGTTCAGATTGCAAGTCAGGGTTGCGGTGCTTGCTGAGTTGCTTCTGTAGCAAGGTAGACGTCAACACCCTTGAATATTTGAAAAAATTGTGCATTTTGAGAAGATGAAGGAAAGTACTGAGTGCTTTCATTAGATAGGTACATGTTTCGAATCATTTAACCAACTTTTAACTCTTGCTCTGCGGGGCTGTCACAGCAAGTGCTGTAAAGTGCAATTTTTCATTTTATTTTCGTTCCTTCGAGCTCCCTTTTGTTCTTTGGACATATAAGACATTTAATTGCTTCTTATTTTGACATCCTGATCAGGCTAGAAGAAAACTGCAAATATCTGAGGTACTCAGTGATAATTGTTACGTGGAAGCTAATTTTCGAGAACAACAGACGCATCAATGGCAAGCAGTGGCCGCAGTTTCCTCTCGTCTTTACACAATACAGTAGTGAAGCGAAGGGCGGGGTATGCTTTGGTGTATTTTTGCTGTGTGTAAGGCAAAAAAATCTCTTCTTTAAAGACATTCTGGGGGCTGAGATGTCTGCGTGCCTAAGTGCGGCGTTAATAGATAGGGCTCGAAGATTTCTACAGCCACTCGCCGAAACGGAGAGATATGAGTACAAAAAATGAAAAGTAGGATGGAAAACTGCAAACAGATGAACGTCAAGTAGGCCTGTACCACTTGTACCTTCGGACAGGTTTGTAGGATCGGCTCTTGTGCCTCTTCCGTTTGTTCGCACGCTCTTAACGGATCACTACTGTCTGAATAGTCCCAACTCATTGTTTATAAAAAAGGAAAAATTGCCGATTCTCCTTTTTTAACTTGTACTTTGTCCAAGTGCATGTAGTTGTTGCAGCTGGCTGCTACGCAAGGGGTCTAGGCTTGCTGGTCGAGGTTGTGACGCGGCACACTGCGCCCTGAACTCTTCTAAGTTCTTAAAATATTCACAGAAACGGTAATATTACAAAGTGGAGGTTAGTTGCATTTGTTTTTGACATTGGCCCACGCGCCCAGGGCCAGCAAGTATCGGGCAGCAGTAGCGAAGTCATGTTCTCAATGCAACTCAAAGAGAAAGCTGAGTATTTCTGCCCTCCAGTGTTTCCCGTCCTTCTAATTATTAGGTTTTTCCATTTTTCTGACAGTATTTGGAAGGACTCAAGAGGCCTGAAAGACCTTCTTGGGTGATGGGACCACACGAGAGCACCAGTGACCACCCAGCGCAGCACTGGTCCTCGGGGGCCGCTCCATTCCGGTACAGCACAAGGTATGTCTGCATGCCATTTTTGTCATCTTCCGGCATATTTTGCCCCAATTGTAAACTTTAAACACAATTTTTGTGTTTTCTTTCATGGGAGATCGCATCTAAACGCGCAGCGGACGTCCTCGCGGGCCGAAATAGGTCTCGGGGGAAGGGACCACTGGGACGCGGACGTGTGCGAGCCGTTTTTTCCCCTTTCTTAAAGGTGCCTCATCAATTTAAACTGAATTTGAAAAGGGATTAGCTACACCGGAGAAAACACTGAAAGGCTCTGTTGCTCACCCGCTGAAGGGGAGGTGCTGTCAGCTCATCGACAGACACCGCAGGGTTCACCTTCTGGTTCTTGGCCGATCCCTCTCTTCTCTGTGCACATCTCTTGATGAATTGGCGCGCAGAAAGACAAATTTAACTCCAAATATCCCAAGGATTTGACCTTTCCCGTCTTCCCGCCGCGAGAGCCTCCCCCGCGGGCCACAATGCTCCTCCTGTGGCTCGAAGCTGCACTGCTCTGGTGCCTGGGGGGAAATGGCGGCTCTCTGAAGACCCAGTGGGCGCCAGCCATCACCACAGCTGTTGCTATCACCACCCCGCGCTTCAAGCTGCACGGAGTTTTGCTGCCGGGGAACCGCGGGAGGTTCCCCCGTTACTTCAGAGAAGAGGAAATGGAGTTGCTGGTGCCCCGTGCAGCTTCGAGGGAGGAGGACGCGCTGGGGCCGCGGCGAAAGTACCTCAAGGCGCTGCGGGGAGAGTGCGAAGAGCCCTCGATCTGCGACTGCGGCCTCAAGTCCTGCAGGGCGGTGGCCCGCCGCAGGCGCCAGCTGCAGGCTCTTGCAGGAAAACTTCATGAATGGAAAACTCAGAAAAATCCAGAACACTGGGGGACTAAGCTTTTGCTGGTTGTGCGCCATGCGCAGAGCACCGCCAACCAGCGCCTCCGGACTCTCACGGGAGTCGCTTCGTTGGCGTGTGGGTTTCGGTTCAAATTCAAGTTCAGTGTTCCAAATTAATCCAAATTACTAATTAGTTTCCTTATTTCTCTTGATCATATTCATTGTTTCGCGCTTAAGAACACCACTTCCAGCTTTCCACAGTGGGCTCTTGTCGCATGATTTCGCAGCACGAGAGGTTGCAGAAATGGCAAATGTGCACGTACAACTGCGCATGCGCACTTATTAGCACTATTTCAATTTCTGTTTTGCTTATTAAGACTTTTCTGGGCCTTAAAAGGCTTTAGGACTCCTCTGAAGCCCCTACTTTCCCCCGGACTTGTGCTGAGTGGCTGCTGCAGGGAGCAACCTAAGAAAGAGGAGCTGGGGCCCCGTGGATCCTGCGCTTTCGGCGAAGGGCCGGGAACAGTGTCGCGCTGCAGGTGCAGATATGTTGTATTTGATGGAGCTGCTGGACTCGCTGGGTTCGCGGGACTTCTGCTTCCAGAGCTTCATGGTTTCGCCCATGACCCGCACCCTGCAGACCGCGAGCTTGATATTCGGGGGCATTGGGGAGCGCATGCGGTGCCCCTCGGAGGACTCCGGGGGGACAGAAGAGGGCTATTTGCCCTGGCTAGTGGACCCTTTGCTGCGGGAGAAGCTTACGAATCTGTCGGACACGGGCACGGAGTACGGGGAGCTGCGGGAGCAGCTGCAGCAGTTGTACTTGCGTCAAACGATCCTCTCCGGCGTTTTCGACTTCACCGCAGTTCCCCCGGGAACTCGCTGGTGGCTCTTAGACTCAAAAGAAAGTCTGCAGAGACTCCTCGAGGACTTCCCCGCCATGCCCATGCCCCAGGGCAGCACCAGTAGCTCCAAGTTGCCCGCTGCAGCCATTACTTTGGAGAGGCGCTCGGCAAACAGAAGCGTTGTGAGTCTAGGCGGGGCCACTCCTGCGCGTTTGTCCTCTGCAGAACAGTCTGTGAAGGCCGCAGTCGTTGCAAGGCAGCGCCAGCTGATTTCGGAAATGGAAGACGACAAATTGCAGAACTTCTGGGGAGCCGTCGGCAACACCGGCCCCCCACAACCGGAGTCCTGGGACCATTTGAAACTCAGGGGGACTCTGCTGCTCCAGACTCTCTGCAGATCAGATCCCACAACTTTTCTACTAGTCACGCATTCCCATCTCGTTACTGCCCTCGATGGCCGCGGCACCATGGGCAATGCAAGTGCGAAGCCGCTGCTGCTGCACTGCGGCAGAAAGCCGTACGTCACCGCGCTCTGAGGCCCCTCCTCCGCGAAACAACGGAGGGAACAGGAAATTAAAAGGGAACCAAACGAGGATACGGGAAATGAGGAAGGAAAGAAGGGGAATTAACTGCGGGGAGGGGCTCTGTAGCGCGAAAATGAGGCAGCAGACTCCGCCTTGGTCTTGCTTTGGCTCCGCAGTCTACAGCCCAGGTTTGTCGCACCGCAGAACTTCAGATTATTCCGTTTATTTTGTTTTCGAGGCTACAAAATGTGCAGCCTGACAGGCAAGGATCCCAAATATTGATTTATGCGCTAGCCACGGGGCCGAAACTCTGCACAGGAAGCTGTCAGTGTTCTTCACTTTTGTCAAATTTGTCCGCTTTTCTGGGAAGCTGTAGTGCCAGAATGACCATTTCTACCTTTCCCGCAAAGGACACTGCCGACTGCACTTGCAGACGGCCCTAGTACAGAAGCTGCAAATGCGGTCTGGCTACGGGGAGAGCTGCCGCTGCTGCTAGTCAGCAGCAACGCGTTCTTGGCCCAAAGCTGCATTTAACTATTGAAACATTTCATTGCTTGAGAAGCTCTTTGTGCCAGAACGACAATCTTTACCTTCCACGCAAAGACACCTGCCGACTGCAACTGCAGCCGGCTTGTGCAGAATCTGCAGATGCAAACTAGTGCACAAGCAAACAGAGCTGCTCCAGCTGCTGCTGCTGCTGCTGTTTCTGAATTTCAGCAGCAACTTGGGTCCGTTTGAAAGCTGCATTTCGTGTACGGGGCTGGTTTTGTGTTGCGTTTCTTGCGAAACAAAAAAAAATAGGAGTTGAGCAGCAGATCTGCGCCGCGCGGCGCGGGTCCTGCTGTATGTTCACATATCCGAGCTCGTCGTCTTTAGTGCGAGGGTCTTGGCATTAGATACCTTTCCCTTTTGGAAATGAAAGCGTTGAAGCAGTTTTAGAGCGGGATCAGTCTCGGGGTGTCGTCGCAGACAAGAGAGAAGACGCGGATTTCCGCATTTGCAAATTTTCGGGTGCCCGTGAGCGCCTTGAGGAACAAAGAGTGGCTCACGATGAAGGCGGAGTCCATTCCTTCAGCTCTACAAAGGACTGACAAGAGCAATTTGGCGCGAAGGTCCAGCAAATTGGAACTTTCGTTGGCCACCGTCTGATATATCGGCAGCTTTCCATTCCGGAGGCGCCACTCCTTGAGCCTTCGGTGGGCGGCCAGCGGCGCCCTCGCGGGCTTTTCTGCGATCTCCAGGGCCCTTCGAACGGCCCCTTCAGCAGCAGTTAAGGGTCTCTTTGCTGCTTTCCCGAGAACGAGGACTTGTTCGTTTTGCTGCTCCCCCCCGCTTTCCGAGGCCGCCGTGCTCGCCGTGTCCGACAGCAGGCTGCTGCTGCTGCTCTTCAAACTTTCTGCAAAGATTTCGTTCAGAGCTTCCAACTGTTCTTCGATTTCGGGGGCCCACCACTCGTCGCCTTCCGCCAGCAGCCCGAAGTCCAGCACGCACTCTTCGATGCTGCCGGCCTGCTGCAGCAGCAGCAGCC